TTCTTCCCTTGTGATCTACACTGTGGCCACGAGGCCTGATTAGATACACTGAAGGCCGTAGAGAGAGCTGGCTTATTGCCAGGCTGGGGCTCATGTGTTGGTTTAGAGGCTCAGGAGCAGCAGAGGAAACAGTAATACATCCTACTGAAGTACAAGTACTGATAACTCTGCCGAGATTTTACCATTCTAGCAGCACTAGAATTTCAAATGTAAAAATGTACATACCAAGAAAAATATATAGTTACCCATAAAATGTAAAATAGATCAGAAGTATGTAGTTTGGTATATTACAATACACAGGGTGTAACATTTATGTTGGCCATTTCTCAAAATAAGGTTCTGAAATGAATGTGCACACATTATTTACAGTATAAGTTTAAAGTTAAGTTAGGTCAGTATGATGCAGCCGGACTGTTGTTTGTGCCTATTCATCTGCTTTGTGGTGGGGGACAACACATAAAACTTTTTCTCCTGTTTGACAGTGGCCAGCTTTTTTAAACCAAATTACTGGGCTTTTTTTAACCTATATTTGTGAGATAATTTTATATCTTCAGTATGGTGAATCTTTAAATAGGCACTCTAGGAACCAATGGGCTTGGACCGAAGAGCCATAGACAGTCTCGGAAAGTCAAAGTATTTACAGATGCACTAAGGTCCCCAAACTGGAGGCCAGCACCTACTGGACTCCTGTTTGAATATCTTCTTTTCCAGCACCCTGGAATAAACTTTCCTGGAGAGGCTGAGCGTCTGAGTGTGAAACCCAAATTATTGGAGACATTCTCTGGTCCCTCTTTTTAAAAATAGGAACCCCTGATCTGCCACTGGCACTGTCCCCAATATCCATGGGTCTTAACATTTCTGGCTCTGGGAACTGATGTTTCTTTGATCATTCCTGTGTTTTATTTGAGATGACTTATCTCAGTGCATACACATGTTCAGAGTTAATCACAAAATGGTATATCACTGAAAACACCAGAGAAATATGTGTCAGTGGTGCCTACAGTCCTCTACACTAGTCATTCTTTACTGACAAAATTCAGAAAATAAGATATACGCTGTGATCTCCTCCATATCAGGTATGTTGTCTGTATTGCCCTGCGTCACAAAATTTGACCAAAACCAAAAACCTTGGAGGAAAGTGTAACATTTGCAACCCTTCTGCTGCTGCCTTGATAACCCACTACTAGCTTTTAAATTGCATGGCATCAGATCTTCTACAAATAGTCAAAACTTATCTACTCTAAGACTACTTAATACAGGCCCTGAAAACTGTGGTTATTAAGCCACTATTAAAACCCACTAATGAACAATTAGAGGCCCATATCAGACTTAAGATTTTAGGTAAAATCATTGAAATCATTGTTTTCCCAAGGTTTCCACAGTTCCACTTAGACACAGAGAGTCAACAGGTATTATTTGATTTCAGTGCTGATTCCACAGTTTCTGGCACAGTGCTGAACTGATTTGAATTCTACCACTCTGCTTTGTGTAGATCAGTAATTACACATCTCAGCGTGTAAACATGACATACGGAGTTCCCCAAAGCTCAATTTTGGGACTGTCCTGTTCAACATGCTCCCACTAGCACAGGTTATGGAAAATAACATCTAGTTTACCAATATTATACAGACATAGGAATTTTGTGTCAGTTGCCAACTTTGTGCTAGTTCTCAACTGGAACTAGACTAAAACTATGTGCTATGACAAAGGCATAAAAATTACATTCATATCGCCTCTTAATATAAATGCCTCCTCTTTAATTTTCTCCAGCAAGCCTGGTTATGCAATTTAGACATCATGTAATGGTTTATTACATTCAAATATGTGATCTAATACAGTCCACAAGATCTGATCTAATTCATAATTATTTTTATTTTTAATGCAGGTCAGGCAACAAAAACTGTGGGGTGCCTGTGCCCATGTGATCCAGTAGACTTAAGCTGAGCACCATACTGTAGATCAACTTGTACCCTCTAGTATGACAGAGAAAAAAACAACAGCACTGCTTATCAATAACCTTTCATTAAAACCAAAACATGATAAATGGCCATAAGGTGTAAGAAGACAAGACAAAGTGATATAGCATATAGAAGCCATTTTACTGCTTCGAGGCAATTTGTCTCTGTGAAAGCTCCCTGTTAGCACCAGTGTTATGATGCCACAATGCAACCATGATGGCTCTTTTATCTCTTTTCTAGTCTCTAGTGAGCCTGTGAGTTTCATAGTTTTTGGTTGGCCTGGATATTAATAGCTACAGCTGACCAAGGTAATGACTAGCTCAGGGAGTGATAGGACACAGCTCCAGCAGCTGCTGCTATGGCAGCACTAGTCTGGGATGTTGCTCTAATGAGAAATACTATAAAGACCAACACTGCTCTTCTTATCTCTATTTCTGTGGGACACTATAGAGCTGGCAAACATCCCTCAGCACTAACAGAGTGTTGGAAGCGGCCGAGGTCGTAGGTTGTCATTTATTGGCCTATTTAATCTCCCTACATATTTCCTCGCCTGAGGCACAGCGCTGTCCCCAACAGACAGAATCAATAGCAGCGCTACTGCCAAGCCATCCGAGGGCTAACAATAAAAAACTAGGACAATTACAGTGAGATGGATCAGTGTCTTTAGCAGAAATATATTATTAATATGTTTGGCCGAACGCCAGGAGGCTGAGTGAAGACAAATCAGTGGCAATAAAAAAGCCAGTTAGTTAACTGGTCACCTAAGAGCCAGCCTGGACATGTTCCCCACATATTGGCAGTGATGTGACAGGTCTTTGTACAAGTGTGTGTGGGTGTGAATGCTACCTTACAGATCCAGCAGGTGGTAGCCACAGAGGAACACTGGTACACTAAATGTCAATGTTGTGTTGCTGTGTATTTTCCACTGGACACTTGTTGTTTTATTTACCTCTGTTTAAGCAGACAGCTTCATTTGAACACTTTCTGACAGTTGGAAAGTCAGGACCTGTGGGATTTCTGTCACATTTACAAAAATAAGGTCATAAATACAGTATGAGAATTCATTCAGTGGAGTAGCTTGTGGTGAATATTTTGCTCACTGAGCAAACTCTAAAATGCAAATGATCTGGTATGGATGCTGAATAAGGGAATGTGGCTGCCATAAACTCAATTTGTATTTACAGTAGTAACCAGATACAGAGACATGCCTCTATTTCTAATTTTACCAGTTTTAAAAGGATATTTAACCGTATTTTAGTAAGAAGCCTTCCTGCCTTCTGATATTCCTCCATTTGCGAGTTTGCATCACTCTTACATTTAGTGTAATGAGCATATCCACAGCACTAATTCCATCAGTGCAACAATAGCGTCATACTCACCACTCTGCTGCTCTCAGTTCGTTTATTATATATATAGCCCCTGAAAACCATTTTCTCAATCAGGCTCCAAATATGAGTCATGGTATCTTTCACATGAATACACTTCCTGCCAAAATTTGATTGTTTCACATTAGAGATTTCTATTTTATTTTTTCTTCCTCTCAGTGGTTAACAGTGGAAAACAGTGACATCAGCAACTCCCAAGCACCAATTAGGCAATATATGAAACAGAAAGCGACAGGTATTCTTTGATGGCTGCTTATTGAGTCATGAATACTGGACCTTATGGGAAAATATTAAAAGATTTAAAGCCAAGAGAAGCTTACCTAAGAGAAGTACTATACTTTTTTTTCAGACACTGTTATGCCACCATCAATTAAAAACTTCCTGTGCAGATGTTTCACATTGAGAGGCTTCAACATGCGCAAGGGTTGAGTAGCACTGACGGTAGTAACACCGACTGATTTAAATTAATTAGTGATAGTGCTAGTGATAAGAGAGAGAGAGAACAGCAGAGGGGTGAGAAGGATTGACTCTGTTGTTGTATTGATGGAATTAGTACTGTGGATGTAAATGCAGTCATAGAAATGGCCATAGTCTCTGTGACGTCCCCCATAGGTTTCTAAAGAGTTCAGTATTGTCGGCTCTGGTCGTCTCCATCTTGGCAGCCCTGAGTCTGCCGGCTCCTCTCTAATCCAATAATGGACAAAGAGGTGGAGTGTAGGTGGAGCTGAGGCGGGCTGAATGAAGCCTGGTTACTGAAAACAGCCACCTGTGACGGCACCCACCTGTCACTCAAAGCGGCCACGCACTTACATATGCCTAACTTAGCCTTAATATAATTTAAACAGGGGAGTTATATAAACATTCACCCCCTGTACAGTTGTCATGAACAGGGAAATTAGCTATAGAGACAAAAAGCGTTTTTTTGTATCAGGCTGTAAACATTTTATACATATACATATTTCTGCTGTAAAGTTGGGCATTTTAATATGAAGTCTTATGGAGATTGACTCACTGCTGGAGCCAGCCTCAAGTGGCCGTTAGAGGAACTGCAGGTTTTGGCACTTCTGTGTTGGGTTTATTTGCCACAGAGGTTTCCTCTTGAGTACAGGTAGTGTTTTTTTTACCATGTGTTTCTTAGCAACTGGACTTTCTTTGTCCATTTCTTGAACTATTATTTGAGACTCATCTCAGTGTTTTTGGTTCAGCTTTTGGATTTGCTTCAACATCCACTGAGGACGGGGGCTCTGCTTTTCAAAATAGCGATTACCGCAATCCGAAAGTGAATGTGCTAAATGGGTAAAATAAATGAGGATAAACTGTTTCCCCAAATTGACGCTGTTACAAATGCTCACACCAAAAACTGAAGGAATTTTTTTCTTGGGTTCAGTTTCTCCTGCTCGCAACAAATCCAAAACCATTTAGAGACTAAACAAGCCAATTTCATTCTTGGAGCTTTCTGGGGTGTCTGTATGGAAGTTGGCAGGAAGCTCTTTTTGGTGTGGCACATGAGCCGCTATCTCAAACCAACTTCACTGAGCCCTTTCAACTTCTGAGACCAAACCTCGGCTCTTGCTCAACTTTTTATCGGCTTAATTCTCTCTCCCTTTGTGTTTCTCCCTTCCTCTTTCTCTGTCTTTATATTTCTCTGTCTCTGCAGCCTTCGTGTTGAGCTGCGTCTTCCCCCAGCGGCCCCTCTACGGCGACGTCTCAGTGAGCAGTCTCCACTCTGGAGGGGAGGCCTTCTTCTCCTGTCTGACTGGCTACCAGCTGCAAGGCCCCAGTATGCTGACCTGCCGCAATGCTAGCACTCCCTACTGGAGTGGTAAGGAACCACACTGCCTCGGTAAGGTCACCAATAATCATTATAATAATATGTTATGTAATTGTTTAAACAACATAAAATGTAGAAAATATAATTGATATGATTATTAGCATTATTAACCTTCACATTTTGCTACTTTAATCCCTTAATAATTTAACATAATACTTACAATAAGCAATATAACAAATACAACAAATGTAATTTATAATAATAACATAGAAATTGCACAATATTTTATATTGATTAAACTAATGTATTTCTTTAGAATAAGAATGATAATAACTATTATTTCAATAGTTATTATTTAATTATTATTATAATTATTATTATTATCATTATTATTATTAGTAGTAGTAGTTTTATTATTATTATTATTATTTTCATCATTATGTATCTAATTTAATAATACATATCAGATGTAATATACACATAATACATAATCGTACATACATACAATACATAATCCATATTTTGCTTAGGAATTTAATGAATACGAATTGTGTATTGCATCTGAAATGATGAAAGTTTAATGGAGATCTGAATATATAATAAATACTATATAATAAAAACTAAATTATTTTATGAATATGATATTGTAAACAGAAATGTGTTCATATAGTATTAGCATTACTATTATTATTACAATATTACAACATTATTAGCATAATAAACATTAGCCTTGAATAGACAACAGTAATACTCTTGGCCCTTTTGCCCTCTGCTTTTGTTTTGTCAAACTACTGTGCTTCAGCCATTCTCTGACAGCATTCTGGGTAATTTTCTTTAGAGGACTTGCAGCCAAGAGTTATCTATTGGACCTTCTGGTCCTTTTGCATGACAGACATAGATACAGACAGACCTGGACTCCCGCAGGAGTGTGAGGATGATGAATGTTTTTTTCCTTCTTTCTTTCTTTGCTCCGATGAGGCTGGATGATGAATAATAAGTGACCATTTTACTCCTGACCACTCTGATCGACTCTGATTCTCAGCTCAGGGAATGTTTCTCTGAAAGCAATTTCAAAGGCGGAGTTTGTGTGGCTGTGCATCTGTATCTCTGCCATCTTGATTATGTGTGTGTGCGGGTGTGTGCGGGTGTGTGCGTTTGTGTGTGTGTGTGTCAGAGCATAAAGCAGGTGTATCGAGGTGTGATTACTGAGGGCTGGGCAGGATGCCACTGGGTTTACTCTTCCTGCTCTACTTTAATTAAGCTTTGTCTGCATGAGTAACCTTGACCTGATCAGCTGGGAAACAACACACACACACACACCTTCCTATAGCTGGAGATGGATTTTCTGTATGTGTTGATGAATCTGATTGTATCAGTTTTCTTTCTCGCTTATATTCCTTGGCTCCCTCCATGCTGTTGAATTTCAAAATCTATGGTGATGGTTAATTGATGAATCACTTTAAGATCCACTTTTGGACAATTTACAGCATGCAGTAATTATTTGCTCAATTTAAAGGGTCTATTCACCCAGTATTCTCTCACCTACCTCCTATAATATTGAGCTGTACTGTTGACTGTCGACAGGTATGATGGGGACCATTTATTTGGTAGAAAGCAATTCCAGTGAAAACTGCTTACAGTAGAACAAGTACAAGTCTGTGAATTAGAGTAACAGGAACATAATTTTTTCGATTTTATATATATTTATATATATATTTTATATTCCATTGAGAAGCCTCTCTGTTTTCTGACCTGCTTCTATTTTAACATCTTCCATGTTTACCTTTTGTCTTGAGAAGTTCAATATATTTCCATATCACTAATTCCACTAGTACCACTTTTTTTTAAACACAAATTCTGTTTTCATTCACCAATTATTTCTAGTGGTTTCCATGTTGACTTTTATTTTTGGTTGCTGTTAAGCTACTATCAACAAAACGCAACACTTCCTGCATACAGTAGATGTGTCACATTCAACACGTTCTCCCTTGTAGCTCGTCAAATACGGCAACTGGGTCAGTGGCCTCAAGCTTCAAACTAGGACTAAGTCCGGTCGAGTAAGCAATAATAAATATTCAACGTCCGGTTAGACTTTCAAAATAAAGGGTGCTGACAAACATTTCCCATTTGATAAGTTTAAATGGTCACACTGTGTTTAGGATTAGGCACAGCTACTACTTGGATATTTTTAGGAAAAGATTGTGGTTTGGGTTAAAGTCCATAACTGGGACATGAACAGTTTAAGCCATCCATCCACCCCAACCACCTGCACAAGCCGGCTTTCTCCCTCTTTATACTACATCACCTGACTTCAGTGGCACATCAAAACATTACACCAGACAGGCTCATCCAGAAATGACCCTAAAACGTATCTACAGCGTCCTACTTTGAAGTGTAGGGCCGCGGACCGAGCTGCCATATTTGATGGGTTGAGAGTGAGAACAGGCACAGTAAAACCCTTTCAGCAGATGAAAGGGCATCATCTGTAATGTTTGTAATAGGCTCCTAATGTGAAACATCTGCAGGAAGTGTCAAATTGTATTGACAGAAACTTTAACAGCACTTGAGAGACAGCAGAGGAGAAGCATTGATTTGTAAATCACAACAGTACTTGTGAAGCAGAACGGTGAGTATGACATGACTCTGTTGTACTGATCAAATTCGTGCTGTGAAAATGTACATGATACTGAATGTGAGAATATTGGAATATTGGTTTGTACTCCCAGCTAATATTTTATAATTTGATGTTGTGAAAAAAGAATGTAACATAATCTCACAGATATTTCTTTCTAGCCTGATCCTGTTCGTCTGTACTGACAGCTAAAAGGGTTAATCTATGCTCAGTAAGTTAATGGGGGGTGTGAGTTTGTGAATTCTGCTGGACTTTCAGTGCAGTGTGAAAAATTGAGAGCAGTTTTGCATTTCATCCTCTCCTCTCTCAGCTGCCTGTGGTGGTTTGATCAGGAACGTCACAGTCGGTCGTATCGTCTCTCCTGGTTTTCCCAGCAACTACAGCAACAACCTGACCTGCCACTGGCTGCTGGAGGCCCCTGAGGGCCAGAGGCTGCACATCCACTTTGAGAAGGTGGCACTGGCTGAGGATGATGATCGGTAAGCTGGACATTCAGCTTTAGTACGAGGAAGGTTGGACATTATAAACACACAACCTCTGTATTAGCTTTGTAGTAAAATTAACTTTATTGAATTGTATTGTATAAAATGTAAATCTTCATTTAAGTACGGAAGCCAAGAACGGCTATGCTTTCAAATACATCTTTAGTGCCATTATCTCAAGGTCATGATAAAATTACTATGAATTAAAATATGATAAATTAACCCATGATCTTGAGTTAATGGCAAAACAAAAGGCTGATATCTTGAGATAACAAGACAGTTTATCACAACATGACTTTTGTTTTCTCAAGATCACAGTATGATCATAGAGATCATTTTTTTTATCAGACCTGATTTCAGCTTTCAAGGTCACTGTCAGGGAGGATTCAAAACTGAGTTGTTACCAGAATGTCCATCTGATAGTGTTCTGTCCATCTGGCAATATGATGCAATACTGAAAAAATATACCAGGAGAAGCTTGACATTCATGAAATGAGCTTAAAGATCCCTTTCATGCACTTTTTCCTTTACCGGTCAATGAATATTAGCTATCACGTTGCATGTCATTCCTCCATGCATTGTCCATTATGTTGCTAATGTTACTGTTACTAATGCTACATTTGTAATACGCCATCTTTGCATGCTGGAATGGTACTGCTGATCTCCGATGAACACTATAAGTAATAAGAGGAAAAAACCTTTTGTTTTCTCAAGATAACGGGTTGATTAATCTCGTTATCTTGAGCTAACGGCATAAAAAAAAGAACAGATGTTTTTGGCTTCCGTATTTAAAGCCACTAGGCATACAGTTTTAAAACTGTAAAATGCATTCAAGAAGCTTATTTAAGGATACTCACGATGACAAACAACCAACAGGAAGATAACAGCTCTGGAACATGACCTGCAGTGAATGGTTTTAGTAGGGGAAAATTTCATCAGAGGCTTTGATAAGAATCTAATGCCTCCTTTTTCACAAATGGATGATATTTTATAATGTCAGAAAAACGTATGAGCTAGTTACAGGCCAGTGTGTCTCACTGTTCACTCTTTGTTAACAGTGATGTACCTTCCTCTTTACTTGTGCACGTTCCTTCAGTTATGTTCATTCACCAGACCTCTCGTGTTTCATACCCTCAGCTTTGTCCATGGAAGAACATTATTCCTGAGGACTCCGCAGGGTAACAACTGGCTGTCAGTGCAGCTCATAGCGGTGACAGTAGAGTGTCATTTTAGCAGCATGGGGCTCTCATTACAGAGGACTGCAAGGAAGAGCCACAGGGGGGAAATTAGCTGAATAATCCATTTTGTATAGCAGCCAATAGTTGCTCTGGGCTGCTCCTACACTCTTGATACAAATATAGACCTCACAGATATGAAGGGACATCTGGACAGCTCCGAGGAAGCTGGAAAGATAAGAAAGAAGTGATGATGTGGAGAAGACAGAGAATTGGCATGAGTGTAAGAGGTGGTGAGGTACTGGCTACTGGAATTTCAAAGATTTTTTTGGTAAACACATTCTCATTCCCAACTCATTAAATACTGCTGTTTGGTCAGTAACCCTCTGTGTAGGTGTCATTTCTGGACGCATAGGGCTCCATGGTCAAGTTAAGCAATAATAAATATGTGATGATAGTGTTTCAAAATAAAGCTTGCATGGATAACATTGTGAAACAGTCACACTTTGGTTAGGTTTAACCACAAAAAAACTACTTGGTTATGTTTTAGGAAAAGATCACACATTTATGTAACTTGCATAACTCAAGTAACCCACTTAACTGTATTTTATTTTCCAGCTAGGGAGGGACTTCTGTAAACTTCGTAAATTGCCTCAATACCGCTGTCCTCTAACTGGCCTCTGTTTGTCTCTGAGGTTGTGTTCACTGGGAAGCTGCTGAGCCCCAGCAGGAAAAAACAGAAAATATTTTCTCCATAAAATATCATCCAGTTTCACCCAAATCACTGATTTAAGTTTAAGATTGACTGATGGGTGAATGTCATGATATAACTGGGTGAAAATCGGTTAGTGCTAATTAATGCATCATAAATATATGAAATCAAAAAATGTTGGTCTTGTCTTGTGTAGCACATCACGTCTCAAGAGCTGATTTTGTGTTTCCACCTCCAACAGAAAATATTCTGTGGGGCTTTTTCTTAACATACTAAATATAGTTTTTAGTCATTAATGGGTTAATAGTAGTTATGCTTTTGAATTCTTGCTAAAATTACATGTCTACTATCACACAGTCCTGCTTTGTTCTCTACCACAAAGATTGAGATTTAAATTTTTTCTACAATCTTGGCATTCCAGGCAGCCATTTTGGCTACATACCCACGGAGAAAATGTAATGTAAATGTAAAATTACAACTCAAAGCTTGCATTCACTAACTAATGTAAATCTCTGGGTATTTTTAGGGGGATAGCAGAGCATTTTTACTAACGGATCTCTTAATTATGTAGCAGAATCTGTTGACTTTTCCAATTCATTTTGAACTGATTTGTATTCATTGCCTAACATTGTTTTAGAACTTATCAGGGGAGGAAACAAGACAGTTCATCATTTCAGAGAAATAAACCAAAAGGGAAGAACATGTTTCACATTTGGCTTCAGTTCAGTCAGTGTGAATAGAAACATGAAGAATAAATGTAAATATAGATTTTATTTTGACATCAAGGCTGTGTTGCGCTCTGGTACACATTCTTCTCACTACATGAGAAGCATAATTGAAGTGATCAAAGGCAGAGCCAGCAGAGATCAATGCAGAGCTCCATGGGGAACCATGGAAGAACAGAGCCACAGGTGGGGGGCGGTGGAGGCCTGTGACATTCAGCGGATCAAAACTGAGTCTGACTGTTTAAATAGACCTCTCAACTGCTGATGACAATACACCATGAAACATTGTGCTGGGTCATTGTTGTCTGCCATGGAATTTTACCAAAAATTACAAGAAATCCTGACAGGTGGTTCTTGGTGACTATATATATGTCACTTTTATCTTTTGACCAGCTTTAAGATTTGGTCGTGTTTTCAACATAGATTAGCCTTACACATTGCATGATCAAAGTACAGGAAAGAAGAAAGTTGACCGAAGTTCTTACCGAGGCTTGCCCAACAGTTTTTGGATCACAGAGCCAAAAGGGGCGGGACTTAGGGAGAAACAGCGCATACAGACGCTAAAGGGTACCTTGTGCTTCCATATGAGACACCATGTGGTATGACAAAGCAGCGTTGGTATTTGACGGCTTGGGATAAGAATGTGTTGGCTGGGATTATAATTTTGCTGAAAATTCAAAGCAAGGAGCTATACAAGGCTAAAAAGTTCAGTAGAGTTGGTACAAATTCTCTGTGGGCATCACTGTGAGCAACTCCTCAACTCCATCAAATTACACATCACATTGTTATTCATCACACTATTTTTTAATTCCAAAATATCTCAGGTATTGATTTCATTACCAGGAAGAACCCTGCTAAGTTAATCTTTGTTCCCTTTCTTCCAGGCTGCTGATTAAGAATGGTAACAGCATAGATGCGACTGCCCTGTATGATTCGTACGAGGTGGAGTATCTGCCCAATGAAGGTCTACTCAGCACGTCCAGGCATCTCTTCATTGAGTTGACGACAGACGCTGCGGGTACATCCACTGGCATTGCCATCAGGTACCAAGGTAAGCACCGGAGCTATCATTTAAGTAAAGTACATGCTGACATGCTAGGGTCATGTATGCTCTTGCTTGCTAAAACACCTGGAGAAAACTGGCAGTAAAACCCATCAGAAAGCTTTCATTATAAAAACACACAAAGGGACTTCATTTAAAGAGACGTGAGCATACTAATAGCCGAAGGCCAAGAACAGCTTAGCATCAGTCAGAACCTTTGGCCCGCTGTGGGTTCTCAGTGAATTATCAATTAAAAGATACAAAGATATGAACAAAAAACTCCCACAGAATGCAGTGTAAAAGCTGAGAGCAGAGTGAATGGCTGGAGATGCTGACTGGTGAATGGAGGTCAGACGTTCTAGCAATGGAAAAATTCAGGTAATCGAGGCCCCAGCCACCAAAATAAGTGATGCACGGACTGTATGAAAGCTGTGAAAAGCTGGGATCTGAAGACTGAAAGAAAAAAGTTTTTAGAGGTTTGGCAGGTTTCCAAAAGGTGGATCTACGGTCATAATGAACACTTAATGTGTAAATGGAGCTTGTAGTCTCAGGCACACAAGTTGTTTGAGTTTAATATAAATAAACTGATCTAATGTGCTAAAATTAATTTAAAAAGCTGATGTTTGATAATTACACAAGTTCAATATACTTCAAATAGTATTACAATCTTGTAATCTCTCACATTGCACTTTAAAGGTCCAGTAGTGTAACATTTAGGAGGATCTATTGTTAGAAATGGAATATAATATTCATAGGTATGTTTTCATTAGTCTCCTTCCATGGAGTCTGCCATATTGAACCACTATGTTTCTACAGTAGCCAAGAATGGAAAAACCAAACACTGGCTCTAGGTAGAAATTTTCACAAGTTTCATTTCACAGGCTACCTTAGTCTCTCCTATACCTTTTGAAAAGTAGGATGGGGGGAAGAGGTTATCAGTTGGTTGCAGTCTTCAACTTCACCACTAGAGGCCACTAAATCTTACACATTGGACTTTAAATAGTGTTAAGTTACTAGTTATATCTTGTAGCAATAATAAAATGTTGCAAAAGAGAGGCCGCAATAATTTGTATTTTATAAGAAGCTAAAAGCCTAATTGTGAAATTTAGCCACTAGACCAAACTTTATAGTCAGAATGCTGCAATCCGTTGCTTATATAAAAACCATCACAAAATCAACATTAAATACTGTGAAGTGAAGCCAACGCAGAAGTGAAACCTGAAACCTGCATTCTATGTAAAGGACAGCGGGGGGCAGCTCCATCGGCTGCACAGAAGCCGATAGTATTGAGCATTATGGAGAAATGCTTCTCGCTTGATTTATTAGCTCAGTAAACCTTTTCTAATGAGTTTATTGTCTCAATCTCTGTGATTAAAAAATTTAAAATTATGTTCATTAAGGAACTTATGGTCCCATTTAGAGTAAATATTTGATAAAGCAGGGTATGCTTTAGAGCGGGGCTACCTTGTAGTCATTCTTAGTGAGTCCGTCCAGCTCAACGCACCAAACTCAGATCAAACTTTAAAATTAGGTAGTGCTGATCAAATATGAATTAATGTTATGGCATGGCCTATTTCTCTTCCAAAATCTTGTCAGAAACATATTTTAGTGTACTGATTATCTGTAGTACGAGATCGTGTGTGACCACCATTGTTTCTTGCTATGGACGAGTGGAAACTGTGCAGCCAATGAGAGCAGCTCAACTCACAGTATGTCACCTCCACTGGCTCTGAAAAACCATCATGGCGACGACCATAACTCAAATGCGAGGCTTCAAAACGGTACTCCGCAAACCAATGGGTGACATCACGATAGGTTCACACTTGGACAATACTTAACACTGACAACATGGCAGCTTAAAAAGAGAAGAATCAAAGTGCTAAAGTGCTGCTGTATTTAATGCACATTGCTCTATGGCACTAAGAATTAGTTCAGCAGCTTAAAGGAGGCTGGGATGAAAGGTCTTCCTCCTCATGGTGGAGGTTGGTATTCTGAGAAGGGGGATGTTGAGGGTCTGCAGTGATTTTTGTTGCTTGTTTCGTGACCACCTGCTCGTACAGGCTCTGTACGGGCTCATGTTCTTTCTTCCTTATTATGCTCAGAGTTATCTTGTGCGTGCCAAACCTGCTTTTCAGCTACGCTGTTAGGTTGCCAAACCATGCTGTAATTCCATATCTGATGGTGCTCTCTGGGATCGCCCAGTAGAACATCAGCTGATCTGGCTGCTCACTCCATACAGTTTCACTCGCCTCAGAAAGTAAAGTCTGTTGCAGTCTATTACACAGGTTATCAATGTGTGTTTTCCAGCAAATAAGGTTCTCTATGTGGACAAGTGTTTGTATGAGGACCCCTGGTCTTTTTCATGGTCAGTCACTTGCCTTGGGTCGTGGACCATCTCCTGTGCTTTGGTGACATTTAGAATTAGATGTTCAGTGTCACACCACCCAGTATCATCAGCAAACTTTATAACCACTATTATATATTTAATGGAGAAATTCTAATACCTTTGAATTTATAACATTTAAATATTCTTTAAATCCAGTTTGAATAAAAAACTCTTGAATGTCCATTTCTGTAAAATAAAACAAATGTAAAATCTTTAATTGCACAACTTAAAATTACCTTCTGGAAAAGAGGCGTATTAAAACGACATTAGTTCAGATTTAAAATATGTAAATGCTATAATAATAACTTCCACACTTGGTGTCATCTGAGCCAGTTCCAGTTGTGACATGCTATTGTGTAAGTAAGCTCTAGTAAGTGGAATTTGAGTTAATGTTATGTCCCTCTTTACTGTTCCCAAGACCACGACTGAGTGTCCATAATGGTGTCTTATTTATGAGGGGTACATCCACATCTTCCCTGAGTTGAGCTGCATCTCATGATATAGGCCACACCCATTTCCTCTTAGATTTTTTGATGGCTTTGTTATCCAGCCACTAAGAACATAACAGATAGTTGATGATTCTCTATCATTAGGAAGTAAACTGTGTTAACATTTCAAATTGGTTTAATTATAAGGGATTTGAAAGCAACACAGCTACACATGTAGTACAGTGTGCTACTTATTTGTAAAACTACTGCGGAGGGCAAGCAAAACTTCTTCGAGAAAAGCATGGTTTTATTGTGTTTCAATAGAACCAAAAAGATAATATGCGGTCATGCGTTTTACTTTCATGCAAGGAATAATCTTTGTGACACAAAGAAAGATGTACATTTTCATGTACACAGTGGTACATATCTGTTTTGGAACAGTTTGTGGACAGTATATTTCACATCATTTGGCAGCAACAGTGTTCTGCATTTTGCTAAGATGTGATGTTTTGCACTAACTGGGAGGATGTTAATTATGATATCTCTGACAGTGTGAGGTAGAACTTTTTCTATATTTGTTATTATGGCCCCACAGAGCCTGCAAACAGGAGGCAAGTTCTGTCATTATGACTCAACAACAAACAAGTCCTTTCTTCTTTAGGACCTCAATACTTGGTCTATACTGTACCTGGAGCAGGTAGTAGAACAGGTCATCCAGTTATCGGAAGCTTGGCTCCTTCCGCCGCATGTCTAAGGAGCCTTGAACAGGATACCAGACCCCAAATTGCTCCTGATGGTCCATCGGTGGATGAATGTGTATGAATGAGTTAGTTCCGTTTGATGGGCTTTGGATCACTGTGTGAATGTGGTGTAGTGTTAAAGCGCTTTAAGTGGTCAGAAGAAAGACGTTATGCAAGTATGGTCCATTTAACTGTACATTCATGCTACAAGGCAAAATACAGTTATCAACTTTAAAGGAAAATTTTCATGGTGTGTTTTTTCATATGCAATAGCCTGTTTACAGTCATCATATACCTAACTAATCAAAGCTGATCGTGTATGCTAATCGATAATAGATAAAGTAGTGATAATAACACATTACATGCTTTGAATTCCTTATATATAGCTATACAGTGTTTTAAGCTGACTGGATGGCAGCAGGTGATAGAACACTAGACTAGAGACAAGAGACTTGAATTGAACTCTAGTTTAAAGACTGTGAGCATGTTTTGCAAAACCTACTTTTTTTTTTAACTCTTCGGTGGTGACTCCAATCTGCACAAAACTGTACCCATATAATCTAGTTTTCTATCCAGCATCACATTTTATTCTAATTTGTAACGACAAGTCCTGAATTGTACACTGATACATCATCCTGTTTGTATCATTCAAGTTTGCTGGGATTTCACTGCCCAGCAGCTCATTCCAACGATCTATCACATACTAATATTAGCATATTCCCCAAGTCAAGTGTGTGTTGTTTGTATAAAGGATAGACAGTAACACTACGTAGAATAGGGTCATAAGCCGTGTTTATATGCATATATAAGTCACATGATTAGAATACTGTTAAGACATCTCTACAAGGCAGGCATGTAAAACAGAAAATAACACTAGGTCTAACATCAGTCAGCTTCAGTTATCCAACACTGTCACATTCATTAGATCCTGCTCACTAGAGGGCGCTGTTTAAAGAAATGTTGGTGCTCAAATGTTCAGAATTGGGGTCAGAGGTCACCAACAGCGTCATTTCATTAGGACTTTTAGTGTGTGTGTCAAAATGTAAATATCAGCCCTAATTTGTTTCTCTTCTAGGCTTTCACTTAATGTTTATCATAAAACCATTATTAGCATTAAAAAGTATGAAGGGATGATTTTTTTCCTCTTTTTGTTCTCTCATGCAGGAGATGTTAGGTTGTTACATTTCAATGAAATTAAACTTTTTAGGATAGCCTTATTTTTACCTTTAAGGTAAGGTTGTGTTTGTGTGCACACGATGTGTTTGACAGTCTGTATCTTTTGAACAGAATAAACTGAAGGAGAGTAAGTTGATTCCATTCCTCTCCGACACTTTAAGCTTCCATTACACACTGAAAGGGGATATATTAGGGATACTGTTTTTGAGTGATTCAAATGAAAGTAAAAAGTGTGACTACCAACCCCTCCCTCCCCTACACCATGGACTCTAGTAGCCTAAAGACTATGGCCATGCTGACGGCTCTGAGGTATCATGTTTAACAGGTACAGACAGTATAATGTTCACCTTCTTTGTTAATGTTTGCTTATTAGCTAAATGCCAACTACAGCTGAGGCTGAGGGGAGCATGAATGTGTGGACGAAATTTCACAGCAATCCATTTGATAGTTAGATAGGTATTTTAAAAAATACCTATCTACCTTTAAAATGTCAACCTCAAAGTGGTGTTAGTGGATTGCCAAAGTCATTAGAAACACATGTCTGTAGTCTGTGACTGTAGATTTGTGGCTTTATCCTCTGGGCACCATGAATGTCTGTGCAAAATTTCATGACAATCCACCTCATGGTTGTCGAGATATTTCAGTCAGGCATAGCCTCCCTAGAGCCACGCCACTGGCACAGCTAAAAATCCTAATTTGGTCCAAGGGGGGGGAGACTTGGGTGAAGCTGGGGAGAAAGGAGCAACTACTGCAGCTGAGTGTGACAGACTGAGACTGATGCCATGACACAAAGCTCTTTTCAAACCTTAATATCTCCTCAGTGGAATTTGATATGTTCAGGAGAGGAAAAAACACATTTTTGTCAGAACAAAATCCCCATTTCTAATCAAAAGGAAAAAATCACTTTCATTGCTGCCTTTCTAAACACATTATTGGGTGCATTTAAACGCATCCATAGCCCTGTGAAAGGTACCTTTTCTCTTTTATATATGTTGCTTTAGTAGCCATTTAATAGATTTTCTCCCAGTAATGTTTTTTCATACTTTCTGTCTGGCTTGTGAATTAAAGTCTTTAAGGTACACAAAATTAATTTTCAGGCTCTACCAGCATAACTATGAATATCTGAATCCATATTTTAAAGTAGACCTACATTTTAAGCAACACTGTCTCAAGGCACAGGTATTCATCTAATGGCTAGGGTGAGATATCACTTAGCTTCTCTTATCTTTTGTCCTCAAATTTGTCTCAGCACTCACCATCAAATAGGCAGCTCGTCTCCGGTCCTAGAGGACCACTTGGAAATACAATCACTGTAATCTGTTTAGGCCTCTGCTTCACTGCCGCAAATGGGATTAAGTCCAAAGGGAGCGGCGGACCCCATTATGGCCATTAACAGGCCCATAATGCCGTTCAGCTCGTCTCTAACAGATTTGATGTCCCTCCTTATCCGGACAAACCATTCCAAAACAGCGGACCTCATTCATGAGCATACATTCAGCCATTTCTAACTACCACTCCATCTTCAAAAGTGTGTCCATTAAGTGCAATTTGCAAGTTTCTGGAATTCATGAATTCTAAAATGTAGCTAATGTGTTCTGGATGCAATGCAGGGTTATGTTCCTCTGCCACAAAGCAGCACAAATCAGCTTCTTTAAAGGGAACTATACAATGTTTGCATGTTAACACATTTCTACAGACTTGTAACATGATATATCTAATGCAGGATATTTAAATGGATGTGACTACAATTCTAGCACTGAGGATAACTATTTCATGTGTGAGTACTCCCAAGTTGGTATGACCGGAGCTTTTCCTGCTCTAGCATTAATGCAGCATATAAACAGCCAGTCTGTGATTTTTAACAGGGGAATGGCCTGGGGGGGGGGGTATTTTCAGCAGCACAAATCCTACTGAAAGATGATAGGAATATTATAGAAATTCTACAGGCAGCAGTGTGATCCTTCCGTGACCATACGTTGCTACTTGTCACTTTGATCATGAAGGTGAGACTACTCTAGAGTATACAAACTGCAGTATTGTATAGAATTGAAACTGATGACCCCTGACTAGGTTATACATTTTATGGATATTTCATATTATATCCAATTCATAACAATAACAGTAGATAAAGAATTATAAACAATGAACACAAACAGTGAACACAGTAACTGCAGGAAGTTTGTGTAAAATGAGTGATTTAAATGAATTTTGAGCAGATTACTTCTTGTTAATATTAATGAGAGAGGAGTTATCCTCATATTTGTGGGAAATTTGTATACAATTCTGTCTGTATTATATATTTTTTCCATCATACAGACCTTATTGTCTTCTTTTTTGACTGTTTTCTTCTCATTGTTATTGTAGCTCTTTGGATGTTGGACTTTTCTAATGCGGGTTTGTTTATCAGAGAGTGAAGGCTCTGTGAATATTGCTTGTTATGCTCTTATGCTGTGTGATTTAAAAAAAAGTTTATATCTTGGAGAATGTTCATCTTCACCTGTTCTAAACACCTGGTAACAATGCAGGACACTTCTGGATGGACACTTGAACTCTAATCTTCCACTTCAGTAGCTTCAAAATCGGATTTTAAGCAGGAAAAATAGACATCATCAGCATCTCTGTGTCGTCCACTAATCGGAAGGTTGGTGGTTCGATCCCCGGCTCCTCTCGCTGCATGTCAAAGTGTCCTTGAGCAAGATAATGAACCCCAAATTGCTCCCGATGGTGGTATCTGTATGTCAATGCTTAGTCTCCGTTCTGGTGAGCAGTTGGCACCTTGCATGGCAGCCACTGCCATCAGTGTATGAATGTGTGTGAATGGGGTGAGTGTGGCATGTAGTGGCATTGAGTGGTCAAAAGATTAGAAAGGCGCTATATAAGTACAGTCCATTTACCATATCATCTGTTCACATTTCACAACTGTATATTGTGTATCTAGCATTTCTGTCAGTCTGCACTGCTGTTATATTGAGTCAAATATTTAACCTGAGTTGTCAAACATATGCTTGTAACACAGCTTGACATACAGTATTTGTTATCAGTAGGGTTGAGTGAGTACACTATTATCTGTGTCAGTTCGACCAGCTAATGAATCTGTATTCGTGTCTGGAATGGGCATGGCTTAAACTGGACATGGTTGATGCTTAAACCTGAAGTAGGTTTCAGAAGTTGTTAATTTAAGCCTGAAATTGATATGGGTTGATCAGAATTGCGATAGTCATTAGAAAACTATTTAGATTAAAGCCTCAGAATTGAGCTTCAGAGCAATGTTTCGGCTCACAAGAGGAAGAGAGCTATTTACACAACAAGTTTTTTTTAATAACGGTTACTATTTGAGTACAGACATTTTACTGTGATAATACTAAAAACTCCTCCGACTACTCAACTCTAGTTATCGTACAGCTTTTTTCCTAACGGTCCCTCACAGGAAACTGGGTGCCTTGAAAAAAATCTGATAACCAGCCCATTGTTTCCAAGTACAATATGAAACACACAAAATAAGAAGACAAAACGGTAAATCAAACAACAAATTACGAGACAAAAAATAGATTTCATTAAATGTCAGACATGAAAATGTATCAAGGGCCTTACAAAAGTCATACGGTCTTTAGCCATATTATTTATGAAGATGCTAATTCATCTGACAAGCATAGCTTCTCACTTGCTTTTTGGTAAAAGCTCCTTCCCACCACTGTAACTGTATTTGTCCCACAGCCTTTGCAGCGGGCCACTGCTATGAACCCTTTGTGAAGTATGGTAACCTGACCAGCAGCGACAGCACCTGGGCAGTGGGAGCTGTGGTGGAGTTCGCCTGCGACCCTGGCTATACTCTGGAACAGGGATCTGTCACCATTGAATGCATGGACCCCAACAATCCCCAGTGGAATGAGACTGAGCCTGCCTGTAGAGGTATGAATTTCAACCGGTATAGATGGGTAATTTACACTGGTTCACACTTCAGAGTTTTACTACAACTCTGTAGTTCACACAGCCACACCCTCTGGGATGGATACTATTCAGTACCACAACAAAGAAATTAGCTGCTCAAGTTACCTCCATCTTTAATGGATTTTATTTTCTGCTTGATCACAACATGGGGAGCATTTTTATCCAGGTGAAATAAACACTTAAACAAAGCAACTGAAGCAAACAAGTGTGCAAGTGTAGTGGACAACATTTGATATAAATTTAACAGAAGGAATTAAAGCTTGATTTTGTATGGGACCATGCGTTAAGTGAGTAATTAATTAAGTAATGAAGTGAGTCCCATTGGCTTTGGGTTTCTTCAGGTTCAGTTGCTGTCAGGTGAGGTGGGGCATGGATCTTATTTAACTGTTAGGTCCTCCTCAGGGTACAGGTTCTCCTGTGGAGAGACTGATACAGCAGTGCTACCTTGGACTTTGGGCAAGCTGCAAGTTACACACCTTAGCTTAGACTGCAGGTCATGCTTCATGCTTTTACACCTTTGTAAACCCATTAAGACCACTTTAAGAAAGCCTCTGCAGCCACTTACCCACCCTGCTGCTGTACAGGGCTGCGTATTAAACCTCAAACTTTTGAGACACTGAATAGCTGGTCAGATTTAAAATCTATCATTAAATCTAAATGTAGCCAGTTTTAGATTCTATCTTATTCTTATTCTTATTATTCTTGTGTGGCTGTCTTGTGCTCAATATTTGAGAGCTTTACCTTCTTTTATTAAAGGGTAACTTTGGTATTTTTCTACCTGGTGCCTATTTTGTTTTTTGTGTCTAAGTGACTAATGGGTACAATTGTTGAAATTGGTCTAGTATTGAGCAAGAGGCTTGCATCCGGGCAGCTGCGAAACTGTCTGCAACATAATTCTTATGGGAATTTGCACACCGTCAATGTACGTCCATTAAAAGTGCTTGCTTTTTCCACTGACAGGCCTGTCTGACAACATTATAGAAAGGATCCCTACAGAGATAGACCTTTTTGTGAAAGTGTAACATCCTTTCTGTTTAACCAGAATCAGCTATTATATCGATGTGTTCAAAGCCACCAGGCTACATTTACAAAAACATTAAACATTTCTCATTTTACCTCATAGTATTGTAACACATTCAACCTCAACAAAAACAAAATGAAACTCACCAAAACCTCAGTTGGTCTTTTCACTGTTCCGCCAATCACCAACTCTGGTTTGGTCGAAATAAACTCTTCAATAAAAAGAGTTAGATGGAAAAACTATTATATTCTCCCTACTATCTTGGATACCTGGCCTACCTCTTGATATATTCACATCTAACTACTGTATGTCTATATTTCACAAAGTGAAGTACTGAAAAATGTATATATATAAAATATATATATATTTTTTTATATTTATAAAAATAAAAGGCTAAAATCAATGGTGCCTGCAATTTTGACAACCAGCCCTATTGCTCTAGTGTGCTGATAAATGAACTTTACACTCACGGTTGTGTATGTATGTGTATGTTCCAGCTGTGTGCAGTGGCGAGATCACAGATTCAGCTGGAGTGGTGCTGTCTCCTAATTGGCCTGAAGCCTACGATAAAGGCCAGGACTGTATCTGGGGAATCCATGTTGAGGAGGACAAGCGGATCATGCTGGACATTCAAGTGTATGTATCTACCTTCCCACATGTGCAAGTTGATCTGCCCGCGATCACCCTTCGATGTGCATGAACCCACATTACTGCAAACCCTTCCCTCGCCATCTTTGAATCCAATCATCACAAACCCCACTTCATCTCCTGTGCTCATACGTGCACCAGTCCCCGGCTTCAAACAGTGCCATGGAAGCAGTTTGAAGATTACAAAGCGCTACCTCACCATGACTGGTAAAACACATTAAAAACACAACGCGTTGCTAATGAAAGAGCGCTTGGCTTGTGAATGAGATGCGTAAGTGCCACACAGACAAAGGTTAATTAGGTGCAGCGGAGAAAACTAATTATATCAGGGAGGGTTTGTTTGGCAGTCCCCCCGTCCCTCCACCACCACCACTCTTCCCCCTCCTCCCCCTGCTCCTGTAATGGCTGCTGTGTGGAGTAGAAGGTGCAAGTGTACAGCACAGGAGTGTGTGTTTTCTGTGATTGCGGTGCCAAGGTGAAGACACAGAACAACACACCCCGCCGTGTCTGAGCCCGATAAGTCAGTCAGCCGTAGAAAATCATTTGCCATTTGCAAGCAAATTAAGGAGGGCTCATTTGCATAGGTTGCATCTTAAGCTCTGTTTTTTTTCTTTGTTTTCTCTCTCTCTCTCTCTCTCTCTCTCTCTCTCTCTCTCTCTCTCTCTCTCTCTCTCTCTCAGAGCAGCACCTGTGCTCTTGTTGTACTTTAAGAAGCACTGATTAATGACTTCCTCTGGTTTTTGAAAGGAAGTCTGTCAACATAAGTAATTGCTGCTGTTCATTTAACAGAGCATGTGATTTCAGCAGAAGTGAAGGCACCCTGTGAAATCGTTTAGACAATACAAAACAGACTAAAAACTGTAAATGTGTTGTCATTGTACTACCTGCATTTTATTGTTAATATAGTGTTTTAACTTTTTAACTTTACAGAGTTTTCTGTAAAATTGATTGATTTTAAAGTTATTACTTCCCAACAGTGTAGACATGAACAGGAAACATTGGGAGAGAGAGACCAACACAACATAAAACAAAGATCCAGGACTTATTTCCATTATGGTCCCCGATGTTCCATCAGACTGACCTTCCAAGATGAAGACACCTGATCACATCATGCCACATCAATCAATCAATTTTGAATCTCTAAAGGTTCAGGTTAGCTGCTCTGGTATTGTGATCATGGACCTCTTCTGTCTTCTTAAAGTAATTGTCAAGTTAATGAGGGGCTCTGCCATTTAAGATCCTATAGGCCATATTAAGTTATATCAGATATGACTCTTATGATCTAGTCCTGGTCTGTTTTCTGTTTCAAGCTTTTGTCTAGGCCCCAGTATAATGAGCTAATGGCAGCTGACAGTTTTAGGAATGCCCTGTCTTGTAGTCCAGCCCTCCTGGCTAGGTATCTAGTTCTGGCATTTACCTGGGCTAAAACCTTCAAGGCGATGGAAGTCCCCTCCCCCATCAAGGATGCAACCCACATAGCAGACAGAGGACTTTGATGTAGTAGATGCCCCTTCAATCTTAATATCCAGTGCTGTTTCCTTATTTAACTGAACCTTTGAACTAAACAAGATAGACAGATAGACTCGGTCTGACATCATTGCACCCCCCACCACTTCTGAAGCCAAACCTATGCCTTTGCATAACATCTTCTGGAGTACAACCATGGGGTCAAAATTGAACTCTTAGCCCCCTTGAGGCAAGGCTCTTAGAGAAGTAGAATCATCAGCCTGGTGCTCATATTTGTGTTGTGGTATGTGATAAACATTGCAGCCTTTAAGGGTTGTTAGTGGGGATTTAGACCTTATGTCTTGTTGTTTGTGTGTACTGTGTGTACGTGTTTGTGCGAGCATCTGTGTGTACGGGGATAAGCTGTGCAAAGTCTGCAGCTCAAACTAAACTTGAGGTGTCAGCACACCGTGGTCCAGTTTCCCAGAGAGCGCTCATGGGAATATACCAAAACAGAGATTTCCACGGAGAGACGCATTTTAATCTAGCACAAAGCCTCCTTACTGTCTGAACATATGCCTAGCAGGTGTCTGAGCATTTATATGAGGCTTATCAATAGCAGCTGTTCTCCCTGAGCCCTCAGGGTAGACAGTGTACAGAGATATATGAGGCCTTTAACTGGTTCCTCATATACCACGCAGACACCTGTGCACATGTGCACGTATCTCCTGCTCCATCTGTGTAATGGCAGGGGGGACATTATCACCAGGGTGTATCAAATGACTTTTATGAATGGCCTTCAAATGAAAGAGGAGGGAGTGAAAGGTGTGATTAAAGTGAAAGTGAGGGAAGTAAAATGAATGAGACCACCCTCTCTCCCACAAAATACAGACTACTGTCCACTGCATTGTCCAAAACATTGTCTTTTTGAATAACGGTAACTTTTAAAGTGGTAATTAGTGTATTACCACTAAATGCATTATTAGAGGAACAATCCACCTCACGTGCTGTTACAGTGTAAAATGATGTCAAATCTTGAGTAGGGTGCAGTCACAGACTCATTTAGTGATTTATCTTTTTTTAAATTATATTGTAACAGCTTCATCTGCTTTCAATAATGATGTTTCTAATCCTGTGTTTATATTTTCATATTCACCTTTACAAAATATAAAAAAATATAGGGCAGTGAAAATTCCTACATTTTACATACATACAGTACCAACAACTACACTAATAGTAGTAACTGATGGTGATGATGATGATGAACATGAAGAAAATGATGACGACAACGACAACAGCCACATCAATGGGGGACAATGAGCAGTGACAGTAGTAATAATAACAATAATATCAGTAATATTAGCAGTGGGAATCAAGCAGGACCATGTGCTCTAGAATATCGTATTTCCTCACTGCTGATGATGCAATGTGGAGATTTATATTGATCACAACACCCCAGGTTCCCAGATGCTGAAGATAATGTTCATTCAATTTTGAAAAGCCAGAGTTATGATTTACAATATTTTCTGTCCAATTCTGTTGGTTCTTATTAGTTAGTTTACAACCAACACTTCCTCACTCCAACTCATCTGGCCCTCCACTTCAAAATATGACACTGTAGGTTATTGGATGTGCAGAGCTCTGCAGTCAAACTATCATCCCATTTCTTTATATGCAGACTGATATCCTATTTTTTCTGACCAATTTAAAAAGTAGTATTCCTATTTTGATGAGATTCACACGGGCCATGAACAGCAGTCCCCTGGGTTTGTTTGAGCCATTCATCCACCCCACCACCTCCATATGTGGACTTTGTTAATCTTTATACTATGGTGATGGTGGGCACATCCAGAAATGACTTAAGAGGTCTTACAGTGTCATATTTTGAAGAGGAGAGCCACTGATGAAGCTGTACTATTTGACGACTTGGGAGTGAGACCAGGTTGTGAATATCAGTTACATTATTAAGCTATTTATTGAAAACTTGAGAATATCAGTATCAGCGTCATACTATAGATTTAAGTGTGTTTCATGTAAACTTTTTTCATATGAATAAGGAAAATTGAACGCAAGTGTGTGTATCACCGGACAAAAACGGTTCCAACCATTTTCTTCCTGCATTTCATACTTTGAGAGAGATGGAAATAGCAGATCATAAGGTGAATAGTTGTATTTTGAATGTGTTGCCAGCTGGTCTCGGGGGCCAGGCCAAACTCAGCCCTGTTTTTTCAAATTGAACTAAATCAAATTAGTGTCAGAGAATGGAGGCTGTGATTGATTTTTCTCTACAGATGCACTGCAGAGCCGCACAAAGCCTTGTTTAGCTTAATCACAACAAATTTGACGCCAGCCGACAATATTTCTCAATCTGCCTCGCTCTGAGCAGGAGAGAGCCTTTATCCGTTAGCAATCAAATAAACATGGAACACCATGAGTTTAGAAGATGCTATACTCGTTTTACTATACTTGTGAGAACTGGTTGTAGAAGGACAAAAGCTTTATAAAGGTGAGGCCACTGTTCTTCCCTCTATATAATATGAGTTTAAGAGTAGGATTTAAGGTTAATATTATGTCTTATGTCTTCTATCTTTTTTAGGATAATAACTGGAATTTGTAGGGTTATGATTTTTTATGGTCAATAAGCATCAACGCTGCACGGAAACTCTGTGGAGGGGATGTTGTTAGACAGAGTCAGAGTTGTAGATTGGAGTTATTTATAAAGAAGGGAGGAAGTTGCTAGAACACGTTTTAGAGAGTTAATATGAATGATGAGTGGGACCCATAGTTTGGGACCCGCAGAATACTTACATTTCCACCACCATTGAATTTTGTGCTGTGTTTCATGAGTTTTCAAGCATGTTGTGGCTTTTAAAAATGTAAACCCTTTTTGGCAGAAAATAGTGGCCATTGCTCGGGTCCTAATCATATCTTAACACTTTTTCAGGCATACGCAGTTCCTTTAAAATGAGTTGTGGGAAAATGATATCCTTGGTCCAGACCTCTGAATACCACCAACAAAACCCATCCCCCCTTCTTCCCCTGGTTACTAGAAATGATCATCCAACAGAGCTTTGTAGGAAGGATTAAAAACTTGGATGTGACCACAAAACTGGTGACAAGCATGGAAATAACTCATTTAATTCAATTGAAGCAGCTGAGCAGGGTTATATATTAACGTACAGTTACAATTTCACAAAATGAATGAATCCTACTAACTACATTGTCCAAAAACTATTAAATGTTGCAATGTTCCTTCATTACCATGAACACACAGACTATAGTTTATTTTGACTTAGTCCCATATACGCTATCCTCCTCCCGGAAATACTCACTAGAACACCAAATGTTGGTTAATCCTCCAGTGAAATAGTCCCCAATCCCCAACAAATGCATTATTTCCTCCTGTTTGAGTAATGCTTGCTAAAAACTACAGTGAGCAGTTGCTTTAAAACATTGAGCATTTTTTAAATGAAACTATATATGTGCAACCCTTTTTAAAGATTTACATCATCAGTAGGAGCCAACTGAGAGATTAATTCATGGGGTTTGTCGATAAAAAGAGAATAACAGTAGAATTATCCTTTAAAGGTTCTGCTCATGTTTTCACTCCTAAGTCGTCAAATACTGCAGCAATACAAATTATGGCTGAAAAAGATTCCTTTATTTCGCAGATATAATCTTTATGAAATTATAGAATCCTTTTTTATTTCTGAGGTAAGGTATGAAGTGTGGAAAAAATTTACATTTCCTTTTGTAAAGTGATGTCTTTGCGCCTTGATACCACGACATACATTGTAGTGGAGGACCACTGACCAAGCTTTTTTGAGTATTTGATAAGTTGAGAGTGAGACCAGGTTATTTATTAATTAATTGTGGGCGGCTGTGGTGCAGAGGCAGAGTGGGTTCGATCCCTGGCTCCTGGTGCCACATGTTGAAGTATCCTTGAGCAAGATACTGAACCCCAAATTGCTCCTGATGCCGTGCATCGGTGTGTGAATGTGTATGAATGTTAGTTTCTGTTCGATGGACTTCGCCATCACTGTGTGAATGTGTGTGAAAGGTTGAATGTGGCACGTAGTGTAAAAGCACATTGAGTGGTTGGAAGACTAGAAAGGTGCTATACAAGTACAGGTCCATTTACCATTAAGTCACAATTTTGGATCTAAAATATGAACAATTCCCCTCCCTCAAAGAGTCATAATAAATACTGGCTGTGGTTTACGTTTCGGTCAGGTTATGTTCAGGTCAGAGTCACAGTTAGGGGTTCAGAAACAATTTGCTCAGTGGAAAGTCCTTACAAGCGTAGGAATACAAGTGTTAGTGTGTGTGTGTGTGTGTGTGTGTGTGTGTGTGTGTGTGTGTGTGTGTGTGTGTGTTTTATGTGTATGTGGCTGAGCGTGCAGCTGACAGAAGAAGAATGGTTCTGCCTGTGGAAAGACAAACACTCCCACCACTCCATTCGCCTGTTCACTTACTCACACATATTCCTCTAATTTCTTCCAGTTTTTGTTCAAAAAAAAGAAAAAAAATCAAAAATAAACATTTCATCTTCTGTCAGCCTCTTCCATGTGTCGATTCAATCCACGCCTCTTGAACCTTTGATTTTCCAGCATTCCCATAGTGATTAATAGCTCAATCTCAGGCTGGCTAATGAGTTTTATCAGGAGCCGCTGGTGATTAATTAGCAACAGCAAAGAGCATGTCACTGCTTTATTCTGGCTAAGCCATTTCTTCCATGCTCTAAATCTTCTCTCTACAAAGAGATAGCTCAGCCCCAGGTGACATTTTTAAACAGCTTTGAGGTTTGTAAGAGTTCCAGCTCTACAGGCTATGGACAAATCGGCACAAATACATGGCCCTTTGACAAACTGTGACAGTGAGTGCGGTTATTCAGCATGACATTGATTCATTCATCTCATAGAGGGAAATGTCTATGCTAATCACTGTAAGCGTCCTGATTGTTGTGCTCCCAATCAGCCGGAATCTGCCAGAAAACAGCATCTCAGATGTTTTAGAATAATCTGTAAATATCAAAGGGAAAATTCTGTTTTTTCCAACAATCACCAACGCTGGTGTGGTCAAATAGTATCATCAATTTACAGAGTTAGATGGAGCCAATGTAACATCGTCTAATCCTTGGGGAAAAATGTGCCCATCAAAGTGCATCCACTAGAAGTTGTTTTTGCCACTGACAGACTCAGATTATTATTGTAAGTGCCAGACAACATTATGGAAAGGACTCCTACAGAGATACAGTTTTTGTGTAAGCAGATAACAGCCGTAATATCACTATCACTCTTCACCAGACTCCATAGACGAAAATGGTCATTTTACCTAGCATATCATGGTAACATCGTAACTTCATTCAAAGTGGACAGAAACAAAATAAAACAGAATCGTCTTTGTTTGTATTTCCACTGTTCCAACAATCAATCTGCTTTGGTGGAAATAAATTCTTAATTCACTGACGTAGGTGACAAACACACTATCTTCTGCTGCACACAGAGGGACTCACATGCACTAACATGCACACGCTGCTTGAACTTAGAGCAGACCCAGAGGGTTGTGACTTCATTCGCTCCTCGGGATGTCATTACTCCTTTATATCTTTACATAGAAAATTGTTGTTTGCTGCTATATCAATGTTCAAAATCTCTTATATAAAACCTATATATAAAGTACAGTACCTGAATAAATATATTTAGTTACAACCCACCACTTGATAATACACATTTTTAACAGAAAGCATGCAGACTGTGACTTCCTTTGAATCTAGCTTGTGTAAAAATGACTACACAGAGCGGTTTCATAGACTGCCACTGTACATCTGCTGCTCAATTTGCTACACAAGCTACTTCGATTTCTAGGAAACTACCTTCTGTTTTATGTCTGAAGTTCTGGAAAAAGCTAAAAGTTAACCTCAAGTTTTTTATTTTTATTATAAATGTCATGGTTTACTTTCAGTCAACTGTGTGTTATATATAAAATTTCTGTTGAACTAAAGTCTTGTGGAGGCTGTTTTCAGTATAAGCCCCAACTAATGTCTCTAACTCAAACTCCAACTCCAAATTTTTTCTCTATATAACATGACGTGAACCCCAAGTTGACATTACCTCCGACAATGATTCCTCAGGACTCCTCAGGAGGAGGGAAACAGGGAATTCTGCCCCTCATGAATGATGCAATAGTGTCTCTCAGTAATAATAATGACCCGGCCTTGTTGTGGCCTTCTTTGCGCAATTACTGTCAGTTTAAAAATGCAAGAACACACCTGTAGGTTGTGACCTCATCATACAGAGAGAGTTTCATGGTGAGGGCAGAGAGGGGAGGGAGAGAAGGGAGTGAAGTGCGTTTATATCCATCAAAATTCTGAAAGGAAAAACTTAAATATTACCAAACAGTTCAAAAGCTGGTTAAGGTGGAAAACACTAGACACTGACTTTATTCTGCGTGTGTCCTGTTTAGGTTGAACATTGGGAAGAATGACATGCTGACCTTTTATGATGGAGATGACCTCACGGCTAAAGTACTGGGTCAGTATGGAGGATCCAAGTCCCGATTTAAGCTCTACACCTCCACCGCAGACATCACTATCCAGTTCCAGTCTGACCCTGCCACCAAGGTCTACGGCTACGGCAACGGCTTCATAGTCCACTTCTTTGGTAAGTAATGGAGCCAGCGCTCAGAGGTGACTGAACCACACAGAGTTTAAAAACAGCTGATACTAGCTGGATATTACCAATTTGAATTGGTGCATTAGCATAAAGGTTCAAGATAGTGCATTGCGTTGTATCGTATCACATTGTGTTGAATCAAATCGTGTTAAATTGCACTGCATCTCAATAGGGGTGAATCATATCGTATTGGTAGTTGCTTCATATGTATCTTTAATGTATTGGATTGTTGGCACTGCATAGATATGCTGTCATTGGCCTGCACATCCCTACTGGATGTTAACAGTTGCTGATATTCACTATCTTTGCATTCGATTATTTTTCTAAAAACTATTCAGTATTCAGGAGCCGTAGCGGATTATGGCACTGATCATTTAAAGGATGCGTGTGTAGGATTTAGTGGCATCTAGCGGTGATTTGCAGACTTCAATAACTAAACACCGCTCACGCCTGTATTTGACTGGGAATGAAAACGGCTGTAAAGTATGTAGGAGAAACTACAGTGGCCGCAAAACAAAAAAAAAGCTAGTGTTCGGTTTGTCCGTTCTGGGCTACTGTAGAAACATGGTGGTTCATCATGGCGACTCCATGGAAGGCAATCCACGACATCTACAGATAAAAACGGCTCATTCTAAGGTAACAAAAACACAATAATTCTTATTTTCAGGTGATTATACACTAATGAAAACATACCTATGAATATTATATTCCATTTTTGTCAATAGATCCTGCACCTTTAAAGTCCTATTTTAATCACGGAAGTGCAACAAGAAGAAGCCAGTGGTACGTCTAGGGTGCATGGCACACATATCATTTTGGTTCATGTGCAGCAGTACAAAAGTGGAATATACAGTAGATCAGAAAGTGTGGTTATTAATAAATAGACAATCACATGCCTGGTCTCATAGCTCAGAAACAGCTAAGCCAATAACAGTGAAGCATGACAACAATAGTCTGAAGAATTTAAAGACGCTCCATATATTGTTGTATGGATGAGTGGCGCGATGTGAACACACAGTGCTATAAATCTGCAGTTAGAGGTAGAGTGTCTTTACAATGATGAGAGAAGCAGTTTATATGTTCGCATGAAACTGACTAAACTGTCATTTCTATTCTACTGTACCTCACATCGTAAATGGTCACATTGTTTAGTAATTGATGTGACATAAAACATGAAACACCACTTCATGTTTAACTAAAAAGAAAGTTGGAAAGAAGGCAATAACACATTTATGAGCCCTGGTTGTCTGATGTCCAATGCATTCATTAATACAGGCATATTAACTGACCCATCTGATGTGTGTTGTTATTCTGTAGCAGACTGGTGTCATTTATATGTAATTTAATGAAGGTAAACACACTGAAGAGCCATCTGTAATGGCACTGCCCTCTGACACAGCACTTCACTCCAATCAGAGGCTTCAGATCTATCCACATATGTGTCCTGCTGCCTTCAGATGCTGCAGGGGTTTAATGAACTGAAGGACAAACTCTTGATACAGTATACAGCAGCTGGGGACAACAGATACTGTCATTTATGGATAAAAGCAGACTGATTTACTGACGTTTCTGCTGTAAACACATTCAGCTGGTATGTTTTATGCTGAATTAAACACATCTACAGGTTGAAGACTGCTTAAGTAGTTTATTTTTTAAGTATCATTCCAGTATGTCTTATCTGAATGAAGGGCCCACCAGTTTGTACCTCTCTTACCTGTGTACCTGCCCTTAACTATACTGTAGTTGTGCTACAGATATTTGTATATATAGAAGCTACAATTTTTAAATTGTCAACATGTTGCCAATTAATGTAGGGTTTTGCAGAACTGTAATATTGCTTTCTTGTTGCATTCCCCAGTTTGAATGTTTTAGGTATACTAATGAATCCAATCAGTCATGGTTAACAGGGCATCAGCTATCACAAAGAACTATAGTGGAAAGGCCTCAGAAATACAGTATCTAGTTATAGCCTACTATTCTGTTGTGAAGCAAAAGAAACAAACGTGCTTCTAACTTCCCTCTGAGTGCAGATTATCAGCATTAAATGGTTTTGAAGTCGTGGTTTTCACACTACATGACTGATCAGACAACATGATCATACTTTAGCAGTTATCTAGTGTTTCTGTGGTAGTACAAAAATTATACATATAAAAACTCCCTGCACCAAATTCGAGCTAAAGAGCGTTGATAGTCTTCTTCTCAATTTTTCGGTATAATCCATAAAGATAAACTGTATATCATACAAATTTTACATTTTGATGCCTCAGCTCACTCAGCCTGCATTGTAGCTGTGCTGCTTTAGTGGGAGAAGACCATGGAAATGAGAAGCAGACCGTTATGAAATTAAGATTTCTCATTAAAATAAGAGCTGGTTGATGGATCAGATTCACGCCGAATTGAACACCGATTCAACACTGTTAATTCACCGTCCATTATGTATGTGTTGGTATCTGAGGAGTTTTATTTGGCTATTACCTGAGTAAGGACCGGTTCACTGCTTCCTGTCTGGTACTGGAGAGAGAGGTTATCTGTGTCTGCTCTCACTGGCTGCAGCTCATTGCATGGCTCCGGGAGCCAGATATTTAGCCTGCCAGATATTTTTCTGGCATTGGCGAGCTCTTGTTGACCCCGCTGGTGGCATTTTTGAACAGTCTACACAACGTGATCCTCCTCACTGGAGCGTGCGCCCTTTTGCCTCGAATCTGGAGGCATTTGTCGGCAATCTCTGAAAGTAGTGAGTCGAAAATCAGGGCTAAAATCACACAGTGTGAACTGGGCTTAAAACACAGTGAAAGAAAGTAAAAGCATTTAGGTTGGTATTGACTGAAACAGTAAAAGGACTGAAGGCTAACTTCTTGCAATACTTCAGGTCTCGGGGGATATGCCTTTGTCAAAGCTGGAACTAATATTGTAGTACTTGCATTAAAGCAGTAAGCACAATTTACATTAATGTACAGAACTTCTCCCATTACAATGCTTCTTGGCAGCTTGTGTTGGCAGCACATGGAATGTATAGTTCAATATTTATTACATGACATCTATTATGTAGTATGTCATAATATATATTATTATGACATTTTATATGAAACTTTAAATGTGTTGAAATGACGTCTTCGTGTAGAGCACATTTCGCCTACCAGTGAAACAAGGGCAGACCAAATATCAGCCTTTTTCAACTAGAAATCGATGTTGAAATCCTGGTCGGTGCTCACTGGGATAGCAAATGAAGCAGTTTGGAGAGTAAGGCAGTAAAAAGGGAAGTTAGGCGAAATGAACAAGAGGAAGAGGGAATTTGTTTTTGCTAGTATGGGACCTAAAAATGGAAGCAATAAGAGGCTGTCCCTGGTGTTGGCGGGGCCTTTCCATCAGTGCAGCACTACTCCAATAGCCGGCACACTCTATCTGATAAGAGTTAATGAATTCATAGGGGAAGGAAAGGCTACAGAATATAGATGATTGACAAAGAGGAATAAAGGGAGGGAAAGCTCTTATTACAGTCCCTTCATGAATCTCATTGGTGGAATGTAAACACAAGACAGCAACGTGGGATGGTGTCGGAGAATGTTGCATTCCTAGTGCCCAAGTGCAATTACTTTGGTATGTTTGTCCAAATTAGACTTCTAAGCAGAGGGCCTGAACCTGCTGCCGTGTGCCTGGGAACGAGCAGAGCGGAGCCAACAGGACTGGCAGGTTCGAGTTACCCCACTAAACAGCTCATTGCAGTTTTTGGAAAAGTAATGCTTCAGCAAGGAATCCCTTGTTTTCAAGCTCTAATAAAAATATGTCTTTATTTCATAATCTCTGCCCAGGTACTTACAAATTGGAAAAGCTACCATAAGAATGTTAAGTTATTATTGTTATAGACAAGTTTTGTCATTTTACAACCCTGGCACAGTCTCTGGTTGTTAATCCCAAATGGTGTGACACAACACAACTGAGTTACAGGTTTGGAGTCAGAAATTTTTATCCAAATTCCCATAATGTCTACAAACCACCAATTGCAACATGGCAGGAAATTGAATTGTAAGAGCCCTTAGACATAAATGCATACGTAACAGTGTACACTGTATATTTCTAGTTGAATTTAGTTTAAAAGAAACATTGCCAGTGCTAGTTGCAATGCTATTCTTTCTTTTCTGAAGAAGATCACTGTTGTTGCTTTTAAGGCCAGGGTATGTTTGAAACAAAGTAGTTAAAGGTCCAGTGTCTAACATTTAGGAGGACATCTATTGGCAGAAATGGAGTGAAATTGGAACAAATTACACCTACTCACATTACTGTAATCAAGTAATTTTTTGGGGTGGAGTATGTCTAAAGCCTTTTGCTACTTTTAAAATCAGAATTCATTACTGAGGCTGTGTATGACTTATATCCAAACTTTTCATCTGACTACTTCCTTTTGGTGACCATGTTAACCAATTGGGTTGTTCTGCAGCCAGCTCGCAATCTGCAGCGACCAGTGTCGAGTAATTTAGGGACTGAAGATTTGGAGAAATAGAAACCAAATGGAGACAGATTGGGTTCTTAATGCCTGGCTGTTTGCTGCTCTCCAACTTCACTGGTTGATGCCCCTGAATCCCACACACTGGTCCTTTTAGGGAAAGTCACTGGTTTTGAGAAGACACAGAGAAAAGCTGAAACCCCCATGCCACTTTTAACGACATTTTGCATGTATGTCATTTTATACGTTGTGAATGTGCAGGAAAGGACAAAGTCAGGTGACCTTTGTCATCATGGAGCTACTTGAGCTAGGTTAAGGAAAACCTGATTTAGGTTAAAAGTACTTTACTTACGTCACTTGAGTTACGTGTGTAAGTTATGTGTGTAAGTTACTTTATGTACGTCATTTAAGTAAAATATGTTACACAATAAAGCAATAAAAACTTAAAAATAAAAGTCAACTTTGATTTTAAAGAAACAGTCTCCTAGGTTAATGCTCCCATCTCACTAAAAGCTCTTCATACTACGTCACCTGATATTTTCTTCTCTATGACCTGCGTAAAACGACACGCTGTCCCTGTCCAACGTAAGTCAGTATAAACGGTGTGACATCACACGCAAAACAGCAAAAAGGTAACGTGCTAAATGTCTCAAGAGATTGGCTTGTTATTCATACACCATTTGGTGATACCAGGCTGCTAATTTAACGTAGTGACCCTCTTATGTGTTTGCTGATATGTGAGGTTGAATTTTTTTTATTGACTGTCAGATGTCATTCACTGTCATTTCATTCTTCATTCTAACAGTTTAATTCAATCCAACTTGTGTCCAACTTTGCCTAATGTTTCTAACATTAAAACCTAACATTCAACACATATATTTGGTTTTGAAAGGTTCCTAAGATATTTAAAAGATATTAAATAGAGAAGGAACATATTGTTGTGTGTTCAGTTATATTTATCATCCCAAATGGGAAACTTGATTTGCAGTCAAAGGCACAAACAAGGAAAACAATTTAAATTTTTCAATTCAATTCAATTCAATTGTATAGCGCCAACTCATAACAGAAGTTATCTCAGGACACTTTTCAAATAGAGCAGGTCTAGACCGAACTCTTTATAACATTATTTACAGAGACCCAACAGTACCACCATGAGCACCACGGCTCTAGGTGGCTGGTCGTCTGTCTCGACCAGTTGGGGAGAGAGAGAGAGAGAGAGAGAGAGACAGAGAGAGAGACATAGAGAAAGACAGACAGAGACAGACAGACAGACAGACAGACAGACAGGTGCACAGCAACAACAGTGTTGGTAATGGCAATCTAGCAGGACCATGGCAGGAGGCTCCACCAGGATCGATAAGAACCTGCGAAACGAGAAAGCTCAAGAACTCCGGGGAAGAAGTGAAGTTAGTAACATGCATTAATGGGACATGAATGAGTGCAGAAAGAGAGAGGAAGAGAGGAGCTCAGTGCACCATGGGAAATCCCCCGATAGTCTAGGCCTATAGCAGCATAATTAAGGAATGGTTCAAGACTCACCTGATCCAGCCCTAACTATAAGCTTTATCAAAGAGGAATGTCTTAAGCCTACTCTTAAATGTGGTGAGGGTGTCTGCCTCCCGAACCACAACTGGAAGCTGGTTCCACTTTTAGAGACTATAGGAACCACAAGTGGCCCAGCATTCAGAGAACGTAGTGTTCTAGAGGGGTAATAGGGTACTATGAGCTCTTTAAAATATGAAGGGGCCTGACCATGAAGAGCTTTGTAGGTGAGGAGGAGACTTTTAAATTCTATTCTAAATTTTACAGGGAGCCAATGCAGAGAAGCTAGTACAGGAGAGATGTGATCTCTTTTTCTAGTTCCTGTCAGTACTCGTGCTGCAGCGTTCTGAATTAATTGGAGCGTTTTAATGGACTTATTGGGGCAACCTGATAATAAAGAGTTGCAGTAATCCAGCCTAGAAGTAACAAATGCATGGATTAGTTTTTCTGCATCTGTCTGTGATAGGATGTGTCTAATTTTTGTAATATTACGTAAATTTAAGAAGGCAGTCCTGGAGGTCTGCTTCATGTGGGAATTAAATGACAAATCCTGATCAAAGATAACTCCAAGATTCCTGACAGTGGTGCTAGAGGCCAAGGTAATACCATCTAGAGTAACTATAGCTTTAGACAGTGAGTCTCTAAGATTTTTAGTACAAGAATTTCGTTTTTTTCTGAGTTTAACATCAGAAAATTGCAGCTCATCCAGGATTTTATGTCCTTAAGACATGTTTGTAATTTAGATAATTGATTAATTTCATCTGGCTTGATTGATAGATATAACTGCGTATCATCTGCATAACAGTGAAAGTTAATGGAGTGATTTCTAATAATTTTGCCCAAAGGGAGCATATATAGAGTAAATAGTATTAGTCCAAGTACAGAACCTTGTGGAACTCCATGACTAACTGTAGTATTTATTGAAGATTCAACATGTACAAACTGCGAACGATCTGATAAATATGACTTAAACCAGCTTAGTGCGGTTCCTTTAATGCTAATTTGATGCTCAGGTCTCTGTAAAAGAATATTATGGTCAATGGTGTCAAATGCAGCACTAAGATCTAATAATAATAATAAGTACAGAGACAAGTCCATTGTCTGAAGCAATCAGAAGGTCATTATTAACTTTAACCAGAGCTGTCTCTGTGCTGTGATGAACTCTAAATCCTGACTGAAAATCCTCAAATAAACTATTGTTATGTAAAAAGTCACACAACTCTTTGGTGACTACTTTCTCCAGAATCTTAGAGAGGAAGGGGAGGTTAGAGATCGGTCTATAGTTGGCTAAAACCCCTGGGTCAAGAGTGGGCTTTTTAAGAAGGGGTTTAATTACAGCTACTTCAAAGGACTGTGGTACATATCCTGATAATAAAGAAAGATTAATCATATCCAGTAAAGAAGTGCCAATTAAGGGAACAACTTCTTTAAGCAGCCTAGTTGGGATCGGGTCTAACAGACAGGTTGATGGCTTCGATGTAGAAATTATTGAAATTAACTGATGAAGATCGATAGCAGAAAGACAGTCTAAATATATATCTGAGTTTACATTAGTTAAAGTTCCTGAACTTGGAGAGCCACTGATAACTGTTGATGGCAGTTGGTGATTAATTTTCTCTCTAATAGTAATCATTTTATTATAAAAGAAGCTCATAAAGTCGTTGCTACTTAAGTTTATGGGGATATGTGGCTCAATAGAGCTGTGGCTTTCTGTCAGCCTGGCTACAGTGCTGAAGAGGAACCTGGGGTTGTTCTTATTTTCTTCTGTAAGTGCTGAATAATAGGCTCCTCTGGTGTTACGGAGGGCCTTTCTATTGGTTTTAAGATTGTCTTGCCAAATTGAGTGATATTCTGATAATTTGGAAGAGCGCCATTTCCTTTCAGATTTCCTAGCTTTTGCTTTAATTGGCGGGTTTGGTGGTTGTACCACGGTGCTAGTTTACTGTGTTTTAAATTTCCTTTTTATAGGAGCGATAGAATCTAATGTTCTTCGTAGTGAGCCTGCAGCACTATCAACAAGATTATCAATTTCAGAGGGACTAAAGTCGTTATAGGACTCTGTTAAATTCAGACATGGCATTGAATTAAACACTGATGGAATCTCCTCCTTAAATTTAGCTACAGCACTGTCAGATAGACATCTGCTGTAAGAAGTTTTGCCTAATGGCTTATAATCTCATAGTATGAATTCAAAAGTTATTAAATAATGGTCAGATAGGAAAGGATTTTGTGGGAAGACTATTAAATGTTCAATATCAATGCCATATGATAGAACAAGGTCAAGAGTGTGATTAAAACAATGAGTTGGTTTATTTACACTCTGACAGAAGCCAATTGAGTCTATTAATGATATAAACGCGTTACTAAGGCTGTCATTGTTAACATCCACATGAATATTAAAATCACCTACAATAATTACTTTATCTGATTTAAGGACTAAATTTTATAAAAACTCTGAGAATTCAGATATAAAATCAGAGTACGGTCCAGGAGCGCGGTACACTATAACAAATAGAACTGGCTGCAGTGTTTTCCAGGTTGGGTGAGAAAGACTAAGAACAAGGCTTTCAAATGAATTATAATTTAGTTTAGGTTTAGGGTCCATTAAAACGCTCGAATCATAATTAATAATAGGCTAACATACTCCTCGTGGGACAACCAGGTCTCAGTAAGACAAAGTAAATCAATATCATAATCTGATATTAGTTCATTCACTAAAACAGCTTTAGAGGACAGAGACCTGATATTTAACAGTCCACATTTCATTCTCTTATTTTGTGCTACTGAGGAGTTAGTTTGAATTTTTATTCGATTTTTATGTTGAACTTTAAATAATTTAGGTGGTCGGGGGACAGACACAGTCTCTATGGGGTTTTGGTGGGTGACTGTTCTAAAGAAAGCGCAGAGAAGTGTGTAAGACAGCAGCTCTGCTTCCTGGTCCTAACTCTGGACTGTCAGGTTTTAGAAATAAACTTTGCCAACAAAAACAACACAAGTACAGACAAAAACAACTGACTCCCAGTATCTTTTAGGATTGATTTTAAAGTTCATGTTACTGGTTTACGAGGCTCCTAATGGTTTGGGACCGGCCTACATTACCAATGCATTGTCATTTTATAATCCTTCGTGGCCCCACACATCCTCTGCTGCTGTTTTTTCAAATACAAGCTATCAGACAAATAAGAAACTCAGCAGCTCAGCCTTTTTTAACTGCAGTATGTACCAAAAAATGGAATTCCCAAAGGCTACAAGAAAAGCAAGCTCTGTCAACATTTCCACGACTTTGCCTTTAACTGTCACTTTGCTTGGTTTTATTCTTATCTGTTACATATTTTATTGTTCTTATGCTTTATTTTACTTCTTATTTTTACTTTCACATATTCTCTTGTTCTTAACATATCTATTCTTGCTATTTGCTGCCTCTTTTATTTCTTATTCATTTGATTTGTGTGGTTTTATTGTGCAGTATTGTCTTCATGTGCCTTTCTTTTATTTATTCTCTTGTCTTTTATCTATTTTGTAAAGCACTGAGCTAAACCATCTGTATGAAATCTGCTATAGAAATAAGTCTGTTATTATTATAATTATGAATAATCACCCTTTCAGAGCTCGTATCACTCAAACCTTACATCCATTTCCTAATTTCCTGTCTTCCTCTCTCCCGTACTGTCTCTCTCTGATCCCCTCCCCCGCTACGCCTGCAGAAGTAGCTCGTAATGACACCTGCCCCGAGCTTCCAGAGATCTCTAATGGCTGGAAGAGTACATCTCACCCTGAGCTGGTTCAGGGAACTGTGGTTACCTACCAGTGTTACCCGGGTTATCAGGTGGTGGGCGCCGAGCTGCTCATGTGCCAATGGGACCTCACCTGGAGTGGCGACCTACCAAGCTGTGAGAGAGGTGAGTGCAAAAGCACTGCCACCGCCACTGCATTATCCACTTGAGATGGGAAAGATGGTGGATTCAAGCTCAGTGCCAGAGAGTGTCTACATTGCTTTTAGCAGCAACAAAGATACATGTAGGAGATAATATTTCAGATGGATCCAACCAACCATGAACCTTTTCCGTTTTTATACAATATTGTGTCAGTACATATCATTCATACAGTGCCAGTTATTTAAACGTCTTGACACAATTTTTTACCTTTTTACTTTTTGTTATCTTTTACTCATATAGAAAATACAGTGCATATATAAACAATAAGGTATATAGTACCAGTACAGATGTTACTGATCATGTTGTATAAATTCATACTTACTAGGCATTTTGTTTTTACAGTACAAATAAAAATTACAAAAATAAGTCTTGATCAAGAATGTTTTTTTAACTTAAAATTTTCAATAATCAGTAATCAGTTTCAATACATTTTCCGAATTAAATCTTATCTGGTTGTACAGTGTAGGTAAAAAAAAGTAGGTCTACCACGTGTAAAAACCCGCAAATAATTAGAAGTAAAAGAAAAAAGGTAAAAATAAATAAATAACAATGAATAAATCAAAACAAAACAAAAAATAACTTATTCTTGAGCCTGGGACCTTGACATTAACCTAGTATTCCAAGTTATCTATAAATCATCAAACAAGATAATGGTCATGAGCTCCTTACAGGTAACTGACTGTCAATTCACTTTATAATTACTTTAGAACAGGGAACTCATTATATTTATTTATTTATTTATTTATTTTTATTTATTTATACTATTAACTTATATTTTTGTGTTTTGTTGCATAAGAGATCATAATTCATGTCCAACAACTTCCTTACTTACTGTCATTAAGCGGAAAACTCTTAATTAATATTAATAATTATAATTGCTGATAAAGAGCCAATATGCTACAAAACGATACGCATGCTAATAAGCAATTAGTTAATGGTGATTATGTGTACCTTAAAATAAAGTCTTACCTACATTTTATATTTAAAAAAAATTATTAACATTTACTGTTGTCAATATAAATTTGATGTTATTCCATTTGATAAAAAAAAGTAAGCATGTCTATATTTAAAAAACTGTGGGCAGTAAATCCTCACATTTGAGAAGATGGAACCAGGAAATATTTTCTATTTTTGCTTGATAAATGACACTAATGATATCAAATTGATCAATAGTTTACTTTCTGTGAACTGACTAAGCATCCCATCACTGCAATACATTTTAGGAGTTATTTGGTTGTTTATCAAAAAGGTTCCAAATGACAAATTTTCAGCATTTATCTGATGCCCCCGAGTGAAGGAGGATTTCTTTGAAAACGTCTGTTCAGAAGGCATCTAGGGTAAGCTGCCCCCTGAGCCAATTAATTATGTCCTTATCCACCAGGACGTGTGACATTTACTGATCATTTCCCTCCTATCAGTAGTGCTAAAAGGACATTTGGATCAGTGACAAAACATGTTCGATCTCATGATTGGTGGATTTTAAAACCTGCCATAACTGATTCTTGTGGCCACTTGGAGGCAGCAAAAGCGTAAACACTGACATATCATCAGCCTTTCTTCTGGGACTCTTGCCCTGAATGTTGTCTCAAAAGCCCTTCATTTTTTAGGTTGTTAAAATAACTTTTTGACTGGACTGGAGAAAAAGTTCTGGTACTGGGGAAATAGCACCATCAATGGGTCTACCCCAGTGACGGCTGGTGGAGATTTTGGGTGGGTGGGCTAACAAATGCATTACACTCATCAATACATCACACAGCAGCAACAGCAGCATCACATCAAGTTACAGCAACAACATTGTATACTTTGTTATGGCAAGGGCTCTACGGCAACACTGGGGAGACATACCCAAAAGAATGACCTGATGCCAAAAAATCTCTCTCTCTCTCTCTCTCTCTCTCTCTCTCTCTCCTCTGTACACATCAGCACATACCAATTGCGCTACGACTACATTATAGAAAAGTACCAGCAACAATTTGCAACACCATGTACCAGAAATAAATCTATAAAACCAAAGCAAAAAAGAATTATTTGTAGAAGAGAGAGTTGTTTCAAACGCCGCTCACATCGACGGCCTTTCTGTGGTCTTAGACGTGTACTTTGCAACCTGTGTGTTTGACAGGTGATCTGCTGATTGACTGTCTAAAAAGAGAACTGGTCGCCGCTGGAGTGAAGTGGGAGATTCGTCAGACCCCCGCAGGGCGAGCTTGTGTCCCCACAGAATGTAATACAGTCCACAGTCCGTGATAGTGAATGCCTGTGTTTCTTTACCAGCTCGTTGTGTCTCTGTACAGCGGTGCGGTGACCCTCATTAAGCTGACAGGTTTCCTAATTTTGACAGATAAATATTTTAAATCCACAATTCCCTGTTGGGTCCAAGCCGTGTCTCCTCCAAACAGCAAACATGGAACCAGAAAAGTGAATTCCTAGCTACACTTGCTGTTAGCCAGTCCGTTAGCTGAAACCATGTAACACAAAATTACGATTGTTTGGATGATGTGTTCCCAATCTCTGTATTTCCATTTTTTCCTAGCCTCACTGTACTGTAGCTACTGCGCTGTGATTGGTCGAAGGTCACTGTACTGTAGCTACTGCGCTGTGATTGGTCGAAGGTCACTGTACTGTAGCTACTGCGCTGTGATTGGTCGAAGGTCTCTGTACTGTAGCTGCTGCGCTGTGATTGGTCGAAGGTCACTGTACTGTAGCTGCTGCGCTGTGATTGGTCGAAGGTCACTGTACTGTAGCTGCTGCGCTGTGATTGGTCGAAGGTCACTGTACTGTAGCTGCTGCGCTGTGATTGGTCGAAGGTCACTGTACTGTAGCTGCTGCGCTGTGATTGGTCGAAGGTCACTGTACTGTAGCTACTGCGCTGTGATTGGTCGAAGGTCACTGTACTGTAGCTGCTGTGCTGTGATTGGTCGAAGGTCAATGTACTGTAGCTACTGCGCTGTGATTGGTCGAAGGTCAGCCTTTGGGCTGAATGAATTTAGCCCAAATGGGGGCGTGTCACGACACTTGTCAATCACAATCAAATGGAAGCTAACGCTACTGTACTGGGGCTGAATACATTTAGCCCATTCACAGGAAAAAACCCAAGATATATATCCTGGGTTTTCTGTCACTTTTTGGTGCTGTTGCTGCTCTAGGTTCTACCAAAATTCAAAACAATATGTTCTAAGGTTTTTGATAATAGTTTTTCATCTTTACTGTAAAAGATAGGGGGGGCTTAGCCCTGTTAGCCCATATATACCAGCCGTCCCTGGTCTACCTTAATATTGCCATAGGGTTTAGTTTTGTGTGTCATGTTTAATTCTATTGCAACATCACAGTGAGCTAGCTAGCTAGCTAACCAGCTTATGTAGTTTTTCATGAGGAGGCAACCTCAACTATTTTTGCCTCTTCTTACGTGTCAGGAGTGAAAATGAGTCATCCTCAACATTTGTTGTGTTCTGGTTTCAGAATGATGAAGACAATTGGATAACAATTAGATATAAAATAGGATGTAGGCTCTACATGATGTACATTCTATTATCTCATGTGGCTTGAAAAAAGGGAAGCCGTAAAGGGAAGAAAAATATCATACCCCACTAGATTTGGGCTAAGCCCTGAATGCTTGGACCCTGGTTTTTGGTCTCCTGAGAGAAATATTTGTATCTTTAGCAGTTAAATGCTCAACTACACAACAATGGGCGTCATGCAAGAAGCACTGGTACAAACATATTGGTTTTTAAATGGCTTGTACTTGTAAAAAATTGGTGGCGTTCAATTTTCTCTGACTTTAAATTTTCTCTCAGGCACAGTCCTCCACTTTGACTGCATTTGAGCACTAACCATCATCAATATAAACACAGGGTCCACCTCCTCTCGTTCTGTGCTCTGTCGGCTCGGAACGCAATCCGTCTGCTTGCTCCGGGATGTTGATGGAGCAGGTGATTTACACAGAAATCTAAGAGCGTTTGCTGAATCTGATGTTTACCGTATGAAAAAAGTCAGAGAAAGTTAAGAGTAAGAATACGCTTCTTCAACATCTCCAAAATGACTCTGTGTATGCAAGCTAGTGCACTGACATTCTATCAGAGGGTCAAAGTTATTGTGAATTATATTCATTGTAGTCCCCTCAAACATTCCCTGTACACAGTAGCCACAAAAGCTTGATTGGTTCAGTCAAATGGCTGAACTGAGAGGTCTACCTTAAATTTGTGAATAGTCTTTCATGCTTTTAGGTTGTTGAAAGTCCTCTGTCCAGATAGATGTTTTGTGTGAAGGGTTTGCAAAAAAAGTAATATTTTGTACATAGAGAACAAAACGCTGTACAGTGGTTCAACCAGACTGACCACTGAAAGGGCAGAAAGAGACAAAGATCCTTCTGAACAACAGTTCAATATATAAGAAATCAGCAGTCATTGGTCAAAGAACTGGAAGCTAGCATCAAAATGTGTGCAGATTTAAATAGGAACTGGTTCCTTTTTCAGTGTCGAGTGCACAATAATGTCTCTAACAAGCTGGAATTAACAGATGTGTTGCTTTAGCAAAACTTCAAAAATAGAAACAGTTTGGGTGTAGGGTTAGCACTATTAAATATCAGCTGCACACACTATGTATGGACTGTAAAATCACAGTTAAAACCTGTTCAATCTGACCAGTGAGTAGACTGCAGAGGCCCCAAAGAAACATGGGTTCCTGAGATATTTAGGGCCCAGTTGCACCTTTGTAAACCAATAATGATCTGGGGTCACTTGTGCTTTTTTTGGAAAACAAATTCATTGAAGGGTACAACAGAATTCTATCCTATCATGCAGCAGTGTGGAGACATCGACTAAATGGAAGTTTTAATCATTAATTAATTCTTCCTTTGCAGCCAAAACTATTTCAGATGTAAATAACGCATTTGTTGTCTGAATGTTATTATCTCTGTTAAAATGCCCATTAATGCAAGACAAAAGAAAAACCCTGTATAACAGGTGACACCAAGCTCATAAATTACAGTCATGTTTGATTGGTGGTGCAAAATTATTATGATTCATAAGTATCCAATTTACCGCTCACCATAAAGTAGCTCGCTCAGAGAGATAAAATTGGTGACGTCTCCAGGTATGCTTGTGCATTCGTGACCTCCCAAAGTTGAACTCTCACAACTGCCTTTATCCTAGTAATCTTTCATTATTGTGATCATAGTATCCAACCACTTTATCCACAGATACATGGCAATCCTCATATAACTTAACATAATCAACCCGAATACACCTAAACCAGCCCTGATAGCCACCAAGCTAACCCTGCTAGCATGGCAGATGGACAAAACAGCTAAAGAAAGCTATCCACAAGAGTAAAGCAGACCTGCATGAACACAAAGACACAAAGACAGGGTGCCTGGTTAGCTCAGTCGGTAGAGCTGGTGACCCATATATGCAGTGACCTGAGTTCGAATCTGACCTGTAGCCCTTTGCTGCATGTCATCCCCTCTCTCTCAGTATATACAAAGGACAGAGCTTGTGGGTCTGTGGAGTGAAGCCAATGTGGAAGGGTCTTAAACCTGCATTCTATGTAATGGCCAGCAGGGGGAGCTCCAGTGGCTGCAATAAAAACCGATACGATAACAAAATAGACAATAGACTAGACTGAATAGACTGTTTATCTGTAATTCAAGATTGTGTGTGAGCAGGCGAGCAACCATTGTTTCCTGCTACAGATGAGTTGAAACTGTGCAGCCAATGAGAGCAGCTCAACACATAGTACGTCATCTTCACTGGCTCTGACAAACTGGTATTGCGACAACCACAATGCCAAATTCAATAAAGAATGATTGGTGGTTCTAAGATAGATGCTTCTGCATGATAGTTACATCTAATAGCTGCCACTGCAGGAAATGAGTGAAGGTAAAACTGCCTGACTTTGCAAAACAGGCCTCACTACAACTACAAGTCTGTTTTTTATTAGGCTGTTACACAGAAGCAGACACACACATACACACACACAAGCAAGCAGTGGCAGTGCCTCGCTGCCAGTGACCGGCTCCACTGGCAGCAGACGGGGACCTCGGCTCCAGCATGGCTAACTTCCACCCTGTGTTTCTGGCCTAGCTGGCCCTTCTCCTGCTGGGCCCAGAACTGGCCTGACTGGATGCCGGGATAGACGCAACTCATTTCTAAATCCCGTCTCTGTGGGCTTATGTAACCTGGCTCAGACAAACAGAGCTGGACTGTCTGATATTTTCTTTACAAACACAGGCCCCCTGATACTTTTAGGCAAAGTCTCTGTTATAACATCCAAATCTGCACATTGTCTGCTAATGTTATCTGCAGGCGCTTTGTTTGATCATGTGAAATGTATTTACAGCATGTCTGCACAGACACACTGCATATGTCTCTGAGCTACCTGTATGCACAGTTCACACTGTCCAGTATTTCACAAGAAAAATTTAAGATTTGAAAAAAAAATCTATCTTCAAGCAGCATTTGGTGTTTGTTATTTTCAGTCAAAATAACCTGCGCTCCAATAGAGTTCCTAAAATTCCTTTTGTGATTAACCTACTTTTATTTGTCACTGTAGTAATAAGGGTTGAGTGAGTACTCAGTTGAAACAAGTATCCGGTACAGATTACATACTTTTTAGGATTATGAGTATATGAGTAAAATGTGTCAGTATCCATACTTTAGTTTATAGTTTTATATTTAAAAAAAAGAAAATCTTTCAGATGAATCCTTCTGGGCATTGAACTGGCAACATTCGAGTCATATGGCATGTTGGTTGTAAACATGAGAATGGATTGTACAGTTTGCCGCATCTCTTTGTCAAGGTGAGACAAAGGAAGACAGAAATGTGGGTTGACAATAACCAACCTTCTTTCTTTGTCTGTCCCTCCAGTCGTATCTTGCGCTGACCCTGGAAAGGTGGAGAACAGCAGGCGGGTGCTGTCAGGTCCCCATTTTACCGTGGGTTCGACCATCCAGTACATCTGCAACAAGGGCTTCACTCTGTCTGGAAACAGTCTGCTCACCTGTTTCAACCGAGGATCCTCAGGCCCCAAATGGAACCAGAAGCTGCCTCGATGCCTACGTAAGTACGAGTTAAAGTGTTGTTCAAGGCCCACGGAGTAGACCTTTTTCACAGCAGTAGGGTAAACAAGTGCTACCAATAATTATGGTTCAATATCATTCAGGTCAGGGTGCTGCTGTTGTACATGTTGGCTCACTGCAAAGGCTACACTAAATAGAATCAAACCTTAATTAGGATAATTGGTAACACCTGTGTTTACCCTACTATTTCATGTCAAAGTGACTGTTGTGAAAAAGGTCTGTTGCACCGAAAACAGCCCTTTTTTTTAGAATCTCATACCGATTCAGTCTTGACTTGAGGCTTGAGTGCAAAGACCTGTGAATTGTTGCGCAAATCAATGACTTGGTCCACCTCTGGCCTATGGTAATAGAATTTAAGCACAAATTTAATTCAGACTTTGTGTAATTTCTTCTACAAATACGCGTCTTTTTTTGAATTCCTCATGCATAATTTTACCTAGTTGCTGACTGATATGGGATTTTTGAAACTGAAAAATTCCCTTATTACTGATAGCGGCCAATATATGGTATACATAGTTTGAATGAAAAAAAACCTTTTCTATGTGGATTGTGTGGCGATTTTGCACTGATATGACTCTGCAAAGCTACTCAGACGGCTATTGAATATCGCCAATACAATACCGATTATGTCGGTAACATTGGCTGAGGTCTGGCTCTAATCAGGTTATATACTTTCTACAAGCTCTATTTGACCTGTATTTGAGCCCATAGATGAGCGACATTTCCTCGAGTAACACACTCTGAAAAAACTTAATGTTCATTATATCCATTGCCTGTTTAAACCCTTTTTAATTGGGGTATGCTTAACGTCGTACCCTCTGGAGGCCACCAGAGGGGCTTCAGACTTTTGTTCTGGTCTGGTAATAATATGTCACACAGTTTCTCCCTTTAAAAGCCACTAACATTAGGAAAATTAATTAGCCTGGTTTTGAATGGAGGTTAGAGTTTCAGTGTCCCATGATGGCCTAAATCTGTTTGAGAGTCTTTAGACTGACAAGAATGATTGTTTTATCTACAACTGTCAAGTTTGGAGACATATCGCACAAAATATCAGCTGTTATTGACTTAAATTTAACAAATGTGTATACAAATGTATAAAAGTGCTCAAAGTTGTTGTTGTAAAATCTAACATTTGATAATTATTAGACGTGTTTCTGACATATCAGGTAAGACTTCTGTAATTGGTTTCTTTTAGAGCTGGCAGTTAAACGCGTTATTAACAGCGTTAACGCAAATACATTTTAACGGCATACATTTTTTATTGCGAGATTAACGTTCTTTTTGGCCTAGCACACTTTGCAGTTTTTTTCACACGCTGTTGCAACAACTAGTAACGTTAGAAAAACTACAACACCACACCGGATCTAGCCAGACCGGAAACAAAACAACAGGCACGCCGCACACACTTGTCTAAGAGTAGTAGACGTTACATTTTGAGTGGATGGCAAGCACGAGATGCCGAAATGGATGCCAATAATATTCTGAATGGAAAGTTTACTTTTAAAAAGTTGCCAAATGGTTCCATTGACAAGACCAAAGTGATCTGTGTGTTTTGTCGTTGTGAACTGAGCTATCATCGCAGCACGTCCAGTCTGAAATACCACTTGATGGCCAAGCACACAGCTGATGTGAATTCTCCGCCCCCTCGTCAAAGCCAGGCGACAATGGATGATGTTAGTGTGAAATTGAACACTACAGTATATGCCAATGTTGTTTTCAATAAAAACATTTGCACAAAGCAAGCCGATCCACTTTTCCATGTTGATAAGAGCATTAAAATGAGAAAAAAATAATGGGACAAAAAGAAATCAAGGGACATTTAGAATAGATAAAAATGTGTGATTAATTGCGAGTTAACTATGACATTAATGTGATTAATCGCGATTAAATATTTTAATCGTTTGACAGCACTAGTTTCTTTATTTAGTTGCGATGGAAAAGTTTTCAGTCTTTCATTTTATTTTAATGTAATCAAAATCACCAACAGCTGATCTTAGCGCCTTGACCTCCTATCACTTCTTTGTTTCTGATAAAGCCGGCAGATTCTGATTAAAATATAATTTCCTCTTCAAACAGCCTTGAAGACATTAACCTCATTTGCATGAACACTTTCTAGGTGGGGAAATATTGTACGATGGCACTGACTAACAATTAATTTAACTGGACAAAGGAAATTACTTTGGAGAAGACAAGCCAGGTCATTGTTATGTATGAGATGGAGATCACCAGCAAAAGACAATTATCATGTCCAAAAAAAAAGGAAAACTGTACTTCCAAAAGTTCTCTTCAGCTTTAGGAGCGAACGATGTGTTGCGGTGTAAAAGTGGAACTGTCTCTCGCACATCACACAGATTTTCATTCCTAATGTAATTTTCCTTCACCCCACTCACTCTACTACACGTGCTATTATTTCACTTCATTTTTTTTGCAGGTCAAACACTTGAAGAGTTTCGCCTAAAACTAAATGTGGTTAAAAGTTCTAGATTATGAAATGTTAGTGTTTCAGCAGTATTTCAATGATTATATAAGACCTGCTACAGTCTGAAACTAATTCATACAATACATTTTTCAGTTTTAAACTAAACATCTAGATTTATTTCGACTTGCAAATCAGAAAACATGCTCAGTGCTGCCCTGTCTCCTAGAGATCACATTCATATAAACAACAGCAAATATGTTTTGAGTGAAACTTAATGCCAGAGGTGGGATTTAACCAAGTGCAAATACTTTACTTGTGTATTAATTTTGTAGCACCCTTTTACTTTTACTGCCTACATTTTCACACAAATATCTGTACTTCCTACTCCTTACACTTTCAAAACGGGCTCGTTACTTTAGTTTAAATGACAATTACGGATGTGCACGCCTTTCCAACATCAAGACATATAACACATGACAGACGTAACATGATGAAAACAACAAAAGAGGAAGACACGACACTGTTTGAAGTTTCAGTTAGCTTTGCACAGAAACAGTTGGTAGAAATGTCAGAAAGGGGGACAAGATGTCTCCTCCTTCACTGTAAAGTCCATTCTCAGTGGCTGAAAGCTTAAAGTGGCTTTAAGTTTTTACATCACACTGTACAAGTTGTATACTGGACCAGGACTGACTTCCTAACTACTTGTGATGTCACAGGGGTGGCTGTGGCTCGGTAGAGCGGGTCGTCCACTAATCAGAAGGTTGGTGGTCTGATCCCCGGCTCCTCTCGCTGCATGTCGAAGTGTCCTTGAGCAAGATACTGAACCCCAAATTGCTCCTGATGCTGTGCATCGGTGTATGAGTGTGTGTTAATGATTAGTTTCCATTCTGGTGAGCAGTTTGCACCTTGCATGGCAGCCACTGCCATCAGTGTGTGAATGTGTGTGAATGGGACGAGTGTGGCATGTAGTGTACAGCGCATTAAGTGGTTGAAAGACTAGAAAGGAGATTTGTAAGTGGTAAATGGACTGTACTTATAATCAGAATCAGAATCAGAAATTCAGATTCTGAGTCTGATTATAAGTACTTTACCACCATTTACCACTTACAAATCATGCTCCCCGCCCCTTAAAATCTGATTTTCAATGAGCTCAGAGAAACTTTCCTCTTTCAGCAGATGAATGTGAAAACATCCTTCTAGAGTTAAACTCTGCACTGACAGCATTCAAACAGCACACTGTAGCGACAAAAAGAAACACTGAGTTCTGACTGGAGGAGACTTAAGCATGTAACCAAAATCACAGTCTTTCCCAACGTTAACCAAAGTGCTTTTGTTGCTGGAGGGTGGATGCAAACCCTGGACTGTTGAGTGACAGTCCTGCACTTTGTACATCCTACCACCGCAACATAAATGTATTGTATCAAAAAACGTTGTCTCTGAACATAATCCAGGCAGGTATTATGTTGTCACCACAACGTAATTATGAAAACAACTTTGTAATATACAAACGTAATTTCTAGGAGACAGGGTAGCTCGGTGTGCTTCACACAAAGTGCTTGTCAGGTTGTCAGACAGCAAGATGGCAGATGCTGCCACTGACAATTTTCAACAAAACAGGCAACGACACCCACTGCATGCAGACATTGATTAGCGGAGGTGGCACACACACAATTAAGTAGTAACATTTTTGTCCCTGCTTTCAAAAGAAGTACTGGTAAGTGTGTGTGTGTGTGTGTGTGTGTGTGTGTGTGTGTGTGTGTGTGTGTGTGTGTGTGTGTGCGCGCGCATTAACCCCACACCCTGTATGACACATATGAAGTTACAGTGAAGGGAGTTCACAGGGTTCTGATTTGAGTCTGTGGACAGATGTTTGCAGAACGTCTTTCTCCTCAGTCTTTGTCTAACCTCCCATTCACATTTTTTTAACATATTCAGTTTGTCCACCATCACATATATTTTCTAAATTCAGGAGTTTTTCCACCTGTTTTTAATATGACATATACAACCACAGTGTTTGAAATTATGTGTACAAGTAGACATTTTTTAGCTTGATGGTGATGCTGTTGAGAGCTTCTCTCAGCGGATCATTAATATCCATACTTGGCAATGGCATGGCAATCTGGACAGTACCATCCTCCACTGATGACAAATGTCAAGAAATATTAATAGAACACTATCCCCTCTGTCATAGATTACATATCTTACAGAGTCAATTTCTCTCTCTTTAAACTCCAGCTGAGACCTTCGAGCCTTGTAGTCACCCAGGAACCCCCACCTACGGGATCCCCAGCTCCAACAAGCTCCACTTCCAGGCCGGAGAGACCCTCCACTACTCCTGCCTGGTGGGCCACCAGCTGCTGGGCGAGCCCGTTCTCCACTGTGTCCCTGGACACCCTTCCCAGTGGAGTGGGCTGCCACCTGTCTGCAAAGGTGAGGAACTGCAGCCTGATGGTCAATCAGTTATACACAGCTGGGTGCTTAAAAGTCTACTTCTCCTTCTTGAAAATGAAATCTAATTTAAGACGATAGGACAATAGAAAATTACAAAACTAAATGAAATAATCTCATCCTTCATCCAACATATTTAACATACAAGGACTACCCACAAGAAACAACCATCATAGCAAAATCTACTTCTCAAATCATTATTAATGTGATCGGAAAAAACATTATTGTCGATGGAAACTAAAATGCAACAACAGCAACAAAAAAGTTTTATAGCTAAAATAAACGAAAATGTAACATTTGTAACATGTTACATTTTATTGGTTCATTGGTATCATCTGTATTCATTGATATGGTTCAATGCATTCCTTTCGTTATGTGGTACAGTATAATTACTATATGAGAATTAAAAACAGTTTATCAGCTCTAGCATAGATTCTGTTGAATCTGACCAGATGACATGCATGGATTTTATTTTTATTTTAGTCTTTTTTCAAGCTACCCATATTTTATAGTTTCAGTCTAAGTCAGTTTGAGTCCAATTAGTCGAGAATAATTCTTTTTAGTATATTTTTATATTGTGATGGCACTATTTTATATTCACAAAATTAAAAATTAAAACCTATAAACCCCTGCCTAATCTGCTGCCTTTTGTTTTAGAAATCCAAGGTCTTTTCTGAGTCTTTTAAACTTTATTTCTTTTAGGTTGTTTGTATGTTATTTTGTTGTAATTTCTGGTCTTGTGTAATATGTTGTTGTACTATTTTTATTTGGTTAATACGTCAACGTGTGCTGGAAAGATGAAATTAAAATAAGATGAATCAGACCTGGAAAATCTTAAAATAAAAGTGAAAACATTTGCAGGAAGTAGACATGATCCATCTCAAAAATGCCATCATACAAAAGACATGACAATCAGGTGTTTTGACACAGCTCTGTATATTCTCTATTATTTAGTCTCCACCAGGAGACTGTGACAGTTTGAAAGACAATTGAACAAAACAAGAAACAAGCTGCCCAAAGAAAAGCGAGCGTGTTTCAAAAAGGCAGCAAAAACCCATCAGTCACACTGATAGCTGGGGAGGAAAAGTGTTTTTGTTTGTTTTAAATGACTCTGGATTTTGTTGTCCTGACACTTTGAAGAAGGTTGTTCCAGTCTGGAGGCTGAAATAACCGAAGAGTGGCCTTTAGTTTGAGCCTGCACCCTGATCAAAGCACCTCCGGGAGACAGGGTGCTGTAAGGACACATTAGACAAATAGCCAGACTGGAGGAGCTACCTGTCAGGGCGGAGATGTGTGTTTGTAATGTGCTTTTGGATTCCTCTGAGGATCGCTGCAGCCCAGCTGCTCTGCATCCCAAAGTAATGAACTGACACTTATATTCCTGTCTCATTCCTGAGTGCGTGGTGGGACATACTGAGCACAAAACAAGATTTTTTTGCAAGTACATCAATTATATTTTGTAGAGAAATTAAAGTCATGCAAAAACATTTTGCTAATATCAGATTATCAGAATCAGAAATCAGAAATTCCCCAGGGTGAAATGTACATAAGCATACTATCATTACCTCTTTTACTCAGTTTTTCTCATTAGTCCTCTTCTCAATGTCCTTGTTTTATGCTGGCGAACCCGTGGACACTCGCCCACAGGGTGTATCTATGCTCTCACAGAGAGCTACAGTGTGGCACAAACACTGCAGTAGCTCATACCAGTCAGCTGGATATCATTGGTTACCAGGGCAGTAGGTAAGCACTGGGAGAGGTAAGGTAAACCACACCCACATTATTTGTGCAGCATACTATTGGTCACATAGGCTTCAGCCTACCTACCTGTGATTGGAAACATTGCTCTGAAGCTCAATTCTGAGGGTTTTCTGTGAACAGTTTTTGAATAAATATAGCATCTTCTGATTAACCAATATCAATTTTTGAATTAAAAACTTCTGGTAAGCCCCACCTGGTTAAGTAATCTGAGTACAGATACAAATAACGATTATTCAGTTTGTGGAGCAGATACATCCACAGATACAGATATTTGTGGACTCATACGTTAAAATGTAGGCTGAACTATGTGTTGTGATTTCGTCTGGCCAAAAATGGCTTCTTTGATAGTAAGGGTTGCTAACCCCTGTGCCAGATAAACCATAGCTACGACATTATCCATTCATGTACTGTATTGCATTGTTTTTTTCTGTATTTTAAATACATGTAAATATGAATAAATGACACAAATAGCCTGAAAATGTACATGTCTAATTTTGAAAAATCTAAAACTGTAAATAATCATAAAATTTTATTTCACATAAAAAGATTAAAATACATTTGCAAATCTATAATTTATTCACAGATATTCACTGTTTATGTAATAGATTAAACTGTTAATTTAAGTTTCATACACTTAATACATTTCTAAAATTATGTAAAACAGCAAAAAAAGTATTTGTTCTGTAATTTTACACAAATTTGTTTGTTCATTGACAGATATCTTGAACACCTAGAAATGGATTCAAATGGTCAGATATCCTGTAAATAATATTTGTTGTCCTAGTACAGAAAGAAGAAATCGGCTGTATGGCCAAGTATGCCACGGAAAGCGATAGGGCCAAGGAATTATGGCTGACTACTGTTTGTGAGCAAGTGCTTTTCTTTGTTGTCAAGAACAAATCCTGGAAAGTGTCCTGAAAAGGTCCTGCAAAACAATTCTCTGGAATTTCCCTGTGCTCAAAATGTCCCGTTGTGCACTCAGGAATGAGATTACGTTCCTGTTGTGGTTAATCGTGTCATTAAAAACAATAAGGACATGAAGACTTTCAATCAATTTGAATTTTAATCAGCGCAAACAGGTCAGACAGAATTTGTCTGTAAATATTTTGAACAAAGCATTGTTTACTTACTTTCTTTTTATGTTTGTTTAATTCATTAAGCCCTTTTCCAGATGTTTAACATTGCCACTGTGTTCTCCTCAGCCCACCCAGTGGAGTATGATGAGCACAGATTAGATGGTAAGTTCATTTTACCTGCACACCTTCAGCCTGCATGAGCACAGAAGATTCTGCTGAATATTTGTGCTAGCAGTACTTCCTGTGAAAGAAAACTTCCAGAAAGTTTCCCCAGTGTCAGGTTTTCAGTATCAGTCCCTCCAGGCTTAGGTTGAGGGTTTTGGGGGGATTGTTGCAGTTTAAGATGTCTGATTTCATGGCAGCAATGCATATTGTGATGTTTGTAGGCATTTTTCAAAGAAATTGTAGAAGAAAGTAAAAATGACACAAATAGTTGCATTGCAACTTCCTGGACGGACTGAGCAGTTACAAAAACAACCTTCATCTATTGTTCCCATCTAAAGTCAGCTAATTGGTTTGTTTTTAGTTAAATTCTGCTCAGGGTGAACATGATGCACCCATACATATATATAATCATATATAATATACAGATCATTTGTTCAAAACAAACGGAATGATATAACTAACAATAAATAATGTCTTTCTCTAACAGTAGCTGCTGCAGACCTCAGAATGGAGGGGGCCCAAGTAGCGTTCGCTGTCTTCATCCCTGTCACCCTCCTCCTCATCCTCATCGTTGGGATCTACCTCTACTTCTCAAAGTAGGTTAGACTGACCAGCTACGTGAACAAAAACAGTCAGTCAGTCAGTCAGTCAGTCAGTGCCCTATAGACTTCAAACTATGACGCTGCAGGTACTCTAGTGTAAGTCCATGTCTTGCCAAACTTGCTGATGGTAGCAGTTTTTAGGTTTAGACCAGAGGTCTGCAACCTGTGGCTCTTTAGCCCTCTCCAGTGGCTCCCTGTGGCTTTCACAACAAATGTATGGAAATGAATAGCTGTTATTTTTTTTACCTTTTAATTTAAATTTTATCATTGTTAAATGAAAGCCTAAGGAATTCTTACATTTTCCAAGTGTAAAAATGTGTAGCCTATACACAAATAAAATAAAAATAAAGTTTTTGCATTTTGTGTGTGTCAAAACTGAACTGGCTCCAAGTTGAAAAGTCTGATAGTAAAGGTTGCCAACCCCTGGTTTAGATACAAAAATCATTTGGGTTTAGGAAAAGATGTGATTTGTTGGTGTAGAAACATTGCTAGAGGGGTACCTACTCGACTTGGGAGTGAAAAGAAGAGGCTCTTTTATCACTGATATATATAACACAGTCAGGGATGAATTTATCACTTGTAGATTGATTGATTGGAGATGGAGACCAATCGATACACTGCTAATCAAAAGTAACCAAGAATGTCTTTTTAAGCACACATACAAGTATGCAAATTGCGGTAAGGTATGCAAAATGCATTTAATTATAAGTTCAAAGTTACAAAGATGTATTGATAGATTGGAATGGGCAACTGTTTGCTAAGACGATAAGACTGTGGTGAAATGGGCCACGTGGCCCTGCTCTGCTGTCCCCATTGAACTGTCAAATGCACAGGTTTTTGGGGAGCCCGGTTAGCTCAGTCGGTAGAGCTGGCGACCCATATACGGAGTCGCTGCCGCGGCCCGGGTTTGAATCCGACCTGCGGCCTCTTGCTGTGTGTCATCCCCTCTCTCTCTACCCACCTGTCCTGTCAATCTTCAGCTGTCCTATCCAATAAAGCCATGAAAAGGCCCAAAAAACACGCACAGGTTTTGATACAAATCTTCAAGTTGTGCTGGTACTGCAGTGTCACTTCAAATACTAATGAGGTCAGACCCTTCAGTACACCATCCACCTCCATCACCGCTGGCCCACGCCTCTCCTTATTAGCACTGCCCGTGTTGTACATGCTGGACTGCTAGCACTGAATCATGATATAGTTTCATGAATTCTGTGTCCAGACTACTGCAAATCAGATATGTGTTAGATTTAGGACTGATTCTGTAACACTTTTTTCACTTCACACTGTAATTAGAAACAGTTTTCTGTGAAATGTAAGAGAAAACCTTGGCCATGTTAGCCCACGGTCTGACCTTAGACTTAAGACAAAAACTCATTAAAGCAGTTGCAGAAGTATGTCTTAGGATGAGAAACATAGTTTTATCAATATAACGCCATAGCCCCTTCAGAGGAAACTAGTTTTGAAAGTATTGAATAAATAGATTTGGAATGTCTCTTGAGACTCCTGCATGGTGCATTTAGTAACATTATTTTCTGATCTCTTGAACAAAAGAGGAGGTTCAAACAGGTTTGGTCCAAAAGAGATGAACTGACAGAGAGGCAAATGCAACTATATTTAGCCAAAAGGACTAACTGCGTTTTAAAAATAGCTGTCACAGGATTAGGATCAAGGATTTCAGCACACAATGATGAAAAATAGAAGTGTGACCCAACCGGAACATGCTGTATGACTCAGACATCAGAAAGAGCTGCCATTATTCCAGGCTGATGTCTTCCTGTGATACACAGCATTGTAAAACTTCTTCTTGTTCATGAATGTGTTCTCTGTCTCTGCTCAGGGTTCAGAGGAAGCCACTACGGCTCTCCCTGTCCTCCAACTTACCATATGAAAACATCACTGGAGAGTCTACGATTGACAGCTCTGTTTCTGAGACAGCGGTGAGTCAGCATACATCAGACTTTGAAACAGCTGGCAAACATTTGCATGTGTGTGTATTTAACTGGGCCTAGTGTCTTCTGTCTGCTGCATTACTCTGGAGCACCATGCTCTTTGTCCATTTACAGGTTTCTCCTGTTCAGTGTAGAGATTTACTGATATGAGTCACAAATCAGTTTTAACATTATAAATGTGACTACATCGGTACACAGACCCCTGAAAGGAAGTACCATGAACTAGTCGATGGTCTGATTTCAAACTTATGAATAGGTTGACTGAAGCTTTGCTACTAACAGCGTCTACTCTCATGAAAGGTAAAAGGTTAAGGTGAGGGTCTCACAATAAGAGCAACAAGAGTAATGTGGCTCGCCAACAATGCAGACAGGATTTACAGTGCACCATCAAATCTAAAATGTAAAGGTTGGAAGACATTTGGATTCTATAAGAAGAAAGGAAAGTTGGACACTTTTTGCCTGTGTCTTCCATTTTCTTCCAGTGCCATAAGAAAAAAATACTTGGGATTTCCTGGTATTTTATAAAATATATGTATTTGAAGGTGAGCAATGTCACTTTTATAGAATTGGCTTATTTTATTTACAATGGAAAATAAATGTCTACATTAAGCCAATGTTAAGAACTGTATCAGATTGCATTGAATCTATTGAATTGATCCATATTAAAATGCATCGTGACGTATCCCACATATCTAGATACTTATCAGATGGTCTTAGAAGGGAGAGATGCACACCCCTACTGCTCTCCCAATGGCCAACATCACCCAACGATCAGTTGGTCAATATTTCTTTGTGTTCAATTATTATTTTTCTTCTTCTTCCATGCTGGCGAACTTGAAGAACAATGAGGTGAGTTAGTCCTATCCTGAATGCTGAGACATGTCAGTGTCATGGGTTAAGGATAAGGCTAATGCTGCTTCACATGGACTCAGGCAGACATATACGGCAAACTGGATATCATTTTGGTGTTAAGAGCAGAACGTTAATTAGGTGGAGCTGTTAGAAAATGGCTAAGTTCAAATATTTAAATTTTTTGCATTCATCTATCTGGACAAAGAGATGCTGATAATTAATAAATTACACAAATTAATATACACAAAATAATTGTATTTGGTATATTTTATTCTATTCTTTGTAAACAATACATTGTTTTGGTTTGCTGTTCTGCCATTCCGTCGAACTGCTTGTTTCTCCTGCGCTGTCCAGAGGGTGTTAGACATCTGCCGTCTGCCTGAATCAATGTGAATGCAGCATATGTCTGGCAATATTCTTATCTTATGGTCTAACAAGTACTGTGTGTCTGTCAAAGCCCGATACATCTCCTTCCTCTGTGCTGTAGAGCTCCATTGTTGCCCAAAAACAATTGAAAACATCCAGTTCCTTCGTCACCACGAACACACACACTGTAGTCTATTTTGACTTAATCCCACACACACCGTCCTGCTACCAGAAATACTCACAAGAGCAGCAAATGTGGATTAATCCACCACTGAAAATAGTCCCAATAAATGCACCACAAACTCCCGTTTGAATCATTTTAACTGATAACTGCAGTAACCAGCTGTTCAGGAAATGACTGAACCTTTTAAAAATGATAAGTTGTTTTTTAAGATGAAGGTCTCTAGGAGAAACCAATGAGCTTGGGACTAAAAATAGGGAAGTAAGAAAGTAAGTGGAGGTGGAGTAACACATTGTTGGTTTTAGTCTGTTTATAGGAATTTGTTGACAGTAGAAAAAATTCAGAATAACATTATCCTTATCCTTTCATTGGAATTTTAGAAAATTCAAGGCAGTCGCTTTGAGGTGTTTTATTGTGCGTTTAGAAAAAAGAACACCTGTCACATGTACAGTGTGTTGTACTGCAGCAATTCATAGCACACCCTAAAGAAACTTGAAATTCATCAGTGATTGATGTACATTCACAGTGCCCATCCCACAGTGTTGTGACCTATGATGTGACACTGGTGTATCATGCTGTGCTGCTAGTGCATGCTAGTGTAGCTTGAAGTACTGAGAGCTGTCCAAACATACAGGCTGTGTTCAAATTCAAAGACTAACATACTGTCCACTACATAGTCAATCAGTACATACTGCATAATGACCAACAAGAATAATTAAGTATGCCGACTGTTCACACTGGATATGTCCAAACATACCTCTTACGAGGAGGAGGAGGAGGAGGAGGAGGAGGATGGGGCTATCTTAACATTTGTTTATGGTTATGTGCATTGTGAGGCAGTTGAGTATGTGCAGTAAGCTCATGCTGCATACTCTGGGCATTTCTCACATACACAAAATCCACATACAGTATGCAGTTGATACACATACGTACTCAATTTGACGTCATACTCAGTATGAATGGTATGTTAGTACCATATGTGATTTCAAACAAACCCATAGTCATAGAGACTGTTTCCAACATGGTTCAACAAGACTGTTAATGACTATGATAATATGAGTATTAGCTCAGTTTCACTAGAATTTAAATCACTAGAATATAAATTGGGTTTGGTTGTCTGAGAGAAAACGCTGGACAACCCCTGTGGTCATTCTCTTCACAGGAAACGAGAGAATACGAGGTTTCAATCTGAAGACGCCAGTGTGTGTGTGTGTGTGTGTGTGTGTGTTTCAGTATGGACAGATAAGAAGCCTGCTGGCGTTTCAACGTCTGTCACACTCACAACTTTGGTGACTCCCTTGACGCCTCCACCCTGTTCTCTGTACGCTGAATACAAGCCTCCCTTTATTTACCCAACAGAGGACGCCACACCGGCCCTGGAAAGGCTCAGCCACCGGATTATTTTTCTAGCTCTTCAACAGTAAACGGTCCAGCAGCAGCAGTTTGTACAGTTTTTAATCCTGTGCTCGCATCCTGAGGACTTTCAGTGCAACGTACCATCTCAGAAAGCGGAGGGAGTCAGTGCGAAGCTAGTGCCATTAAGCGTGTATAACCACAGATGTTACGTTGTGTTATGTACATTATACACTATATGTCTCCTGCCACCATCTAAAGAAGAACAATGCTTATGGATTTATGGGATGTTTATTAAGAGTAAGAGGTTACAATTCACTGAAATTCAACAGCGGAGTTTGCCCAAAAATGTCCCTCTCTGAATTGATGCAAGCTTCTGAGATAAGAAATCAGAATGTGCCTTAAATAAAAGGCCCTTGACAGAATATCTCTCTTTCTGAGAGTGAGATGACAAGATTGATATCAGTCTCATGTCTGTGAGGCTGTAAGTACAGACCTGGATGTGGTTAACCTAGCTTAGCATAAAGACTGGATGCAGGGGGAAACAGCTAGCTAAAAGAACATCTTGAAAAGTGGTGGAACAGGAAGTTTAACCTCATTATTGTCATTGTAGTCCGATTATTATTTATTCTAGATAAATGAAATGTAAGCACTGCTTGGGACACAGTCATATAAACTGATGTAGCAGGTTGTAGGTTGTACAAGCTACTTCACAACAACAAGAAGGAAGTGACAAATCCAATGTTGTCTCATCGGTTCGTGGCTAGCAGGCTAGCTGTTTCTCCACGTTTCCTTCAGTGTGTGTGCTAATCTAAGCTAACCATGTTCTGACTCCAGCTGTACACACAGACCTCACTTTTAAAACAAAAGCGAATGAGCGTATGTTCCAGAATGTTGAATCATTTAAAAAAATAGTGTTAGCATATAGATTAAAGGTCCAGTGTGTAACATTTAGGAGGATCTATTGTCAGAAATGGAATATAATATTCATAGGTATGTTTTCATTAGTGTATAATCACCTCATCACCATTAGAACTGTTTTTGTTACCTTACAATGACACGTTTTTATCTATAGAGGAAGCACCATGTTGATCTGCCATGTTTCTACAGGACAAACTGATCTCCGGTTCTAGATCGGGGCGGTTTTCACGTGTTTTCGCAACCACAGTGGTTTCTCGAGCGAGCTGTTTCAGTTGGTTGAGATCTGCAACTTCCTCACTAGAAGCCACTAAATCCTACACACTGGTCCTTTACGATTATATATATTATCAATTATCAATAAACCTTTCACCGTAAACAACATCCAATTCCCCTGGGGATCATTTCAATTTCTATTTCTATTTTAGAATGGCAATACTGATTTCACACGTTCATATGTAAGATGCAGAATCAGACAAAGACATTTTTGATTTCTCCTTGGGTTATCAGCATCAGTTTAGCGTTAAAAATTGAGTTGAAACTGTTTTAGTACCCCCCCACCCCATGTGTTATTCTTTCTCAGAAGCAAAAGGAAAATGTACACCAGGGTAAGCCGTTGTTCTTATTGCCATTGCCTGTTTGGAGATTGCGTCTAAACTGAGACCATTACTGTCGTTCAAACATACAGTATATTGTCCTATGATAATATGTATCCATGCAAGCTGGTGTGATGACAATGATAATAATTAACCTATTTTTGATTCATTGTACATAAAGTACTGATTAAGCTACTTCACAGACATCTTCAATAAAAGTTATTGTTCAGAAAAAAACGTGTCTTACTTGCTTAATCACTCGTCTCCTTGTTTGCATCATAGCTGATAATGGTTTGAGTCCTTTTGAATGAATGATGAATTTGTTTGTGATTCCTGTGCAGAAATTCCATTTGTTCTGCTTATACAGAACCAATGACAATACTGAATAAATGAACTTTTGGAAATTTAATTTAACACAATTCAGATTACAGCTGTTGCACTATCCCAATATTGACGATAATCAAGGTATTTAAAAATGAAATATTGATTGATATTGATTTTATATTTAAAGCTGCAGTAGGTAATTTTTACTTTAACTGAAACTTTCAATATATCCTGACAGTAGTACATGAGACAGATAATCTGTGAAAAAACAGGTTCCTCTGCCGCCTCCTAGTGCTCCTAATGGTATTTGCAAGAATCCACCGGGCCTGAACGAAAATAACCAATCAGAGCCGAGATAGATAGTTGATTGTTGAGTCTCATTCCCAGGGCATCAAATAAAGACGCTTTGGGACCCTGGGAACAAGCACTAGGAGGAGCCAGAGGAACCTGAACAGATAATGTGTCTCATGTACTACTGCGAGAACACAATGACGTTTTCAGCAAATATGACAAAATGTTTTTTATTAGGGTTTTTTTTTACAAAGGTTACCTACTGCAGCTTTAATACCATATATATATACACCAAGTGCAGAATAGTGAAGATGGTCCGGACATGATTTGAGAGTGCAGACAGATTTGAAGGTACACAAGCTTTTAAGAGCAAAACCCTCATGTGGTTCATGCTCAGTCTGAAATTGACTGATCAACGTGAGATTTTGACCACCTCACCATACATTTCAGTTTATATGTGGCTGTCAAAGTCTTATCTATGTCCCAGTTATGAAGAACAAATCTATTCACACGACCCTATAGGTCAAACCTTACATCACACAGTATATGCCAATGTTGTTTTCAATAAAAACAACATTTTCACAAAGCAGGCCGATCCACTTTTCCATGTTGATAAGAGCATTAAAATGAGAAAAAATAATGGGACAAAAAGAAATCAAGGGACATTTAGAATAGATAAAAATGTGCGATTAATTGCGAGTTAACTATGACATTAATGCGATTAATCGCATTTAAATATTTTAATCGTTTGACAGCACTACTTATTATGTCATTAATGAAAGAAAATGTTGAGTGAAATTTCATACAGACTGCTAGATGATATATTGATATGATATCAATACTGTTTGTTACAATTTTAATGATACCAATACTGATCATTTCTTTGATAGGAATTTTATTTTTCAAAATAATGGTCTTAAAAAAATTGTCTTAAAGTTCTATATTTAAAGGGAAAATTTCCACCTTTTATGTGGAAGTCTACTCAGTGTTGATGGTAAAGCGCATGCTTAATTAACTGAGAAATAGCTGCAATATCTGTTCCTCTGGCACCAACGCTGTCATTTGACGTATACAGTGATGTAGTTGTTGTCACTTTCTGAGTAAATCTAGCACGCACTGAGGGATTTATGGCTTAAATTTACCATCAAACACTGATTGGACAACTGCATAAAACGTGGGGAATCACCCTATATATAAAAATGTTGGTGCTGAAGAATAGTCTACAGGTGAAAGTAGCATCACACCATGCTCGGTTTCCTTTTTGCCATTCTCTCACAAGCTGGATACAAGTGTGTGACTACGCTCGGTTCTAATGTCACAGGTTTCCACAGTCATGTGACACAGGCCAGCTAAATATATCAGGGCTGTTTGTTGGAGTTGTTTATTGGAGTACGAAAGTACTGAAAATGTTTGGAGGTGATGCAGCCACCCACATTTTGTATTCACTGATATTTTCTTAAAAGAATCAATATCAAATGAGTAGCTTGTGAGTATTGAAGTATCCCAATGGACTGATCTGCCCATCCTTGATAATGACATTTTTTTCTGTCTGAACCGTTGGAGAGTAGTGTAACTGTATCTCAATCTGTGAAATGTATAAATATACGCAGTTACAGATTTGTCTACACGATAGACCTTTTTTCCACATCTACAAATCTGCTTACACACGCACACACACACACACACACACACACACACACACACACACACACACACACACACACGCGCGCGCATTGAGATACAATTAAACAAATCTCCACTCACATTTGTAAATAGTTTTGCTTACAATAATGGCTCCATATTTCTGGTGTGATTTGTGAATTCTAACAAAATGTTTTTTTTTTTGGAACAATGGCGTCAACAATGCCATGTAGAAAGTTGTCTGTTCTCGTGCAGGTACGGCCAACTTTCTGCACGTCACAGACGTCATTGTTCCAAAAAAGAAGGAACCCTCTGTAAGCAGGAACATCCTGTGGCATTAATTAAAATAAACCATCATTTTTACTTGCACTTTTCTTTACAACACTGCAATAACTGCACTCATACTAAAATGACCTCCATTCTGCTAGAATTGAAAGTGATCTCCCGTCACATCCTCTGTGCCTCCAGAAAAGAAATCAGTAACAGTGAGCGGTAATGAACGAGTGAAAATAGACCCATTAAACGTGATAATTAGCTGTGTAATGAAGTCATCACATGAAGAAACTGCAATGCATCTGCTGTTCAACATGATGTATTGTGTTTGTCGGGGCGGCAGTGTGTCTCTGAGCAGGCTTTAATGGAGTTTTCAGAACAGCGAAAGCACAGGCATATAACCCTGCAGCAGAACACACAACTTCTGTCCTTTTTAACATGAATGAACCTAGAAATATAGGTGCTGGTGTGCAGGTAAATTATTTTTTATCTGAGCATGGTTGGGAGCACTGGAGAAGGAGCTGGCTTCACCAATCTAGCCTTGCTCCAGACGTCTGAGTCCTGTCCTACCCACATATCTGATTCTGAGCAATTCAGAAAGGTCTGTTGTTGTGCTGATTGACTTTCATCTTTTTAGTTGGGATTAAGATCATCATTAATACCGCCTTTCCAGAAGTACAAACCTAGTGCCAGTTCTGGGGTGATGCGAGTGCCGGCTCAGAGTTGGTTCAACTTGAGAACCTAATAACATAATAATTTGCTTTTCTACTAGAGAGCCACCATAGACCCACGTCACTGTATGTCTCCAGTGTTAGCTGAGCTAAGGTTAGCAGTGAGAGATCCACTAGCAACAGATATCACATATTGTATGTTTAAATAACACAATATATGTTTAAATCAATGTTTAGAGTAAATATGGGATGTTATTTTACTTACAGATGTTAAATGTCATTTCTAGTTTTTACTACAAAAAATCCATCTATCTGTCACCTGATTTATTATTATGATACAATCAGCTTGTAATGGAGGTCTCTTAAGACTATTTATTGTCAGTTTTACTATTAGCTCATTTCTCACATTCCGATTATTTGTTAATTGGATTGTATATGATTTATAAGTGCATTTATTATAGAAATTCACCATTACAATATTTGTTTGTGTTTGGGACATAACTGGGTTCTGAACAGATGGCAAACACAAACCCTGCATGTCCCAATTGTGTATTGTTACTATGTTTTGAGTATGTAGTGCATTAACACTGGACAACATAACTGAGTGAAATATGGTTACCAATGCCACCATGCTCTTGATTTTGTTGACAGCAGCAGATTAAGAACTGAACTGTGACAGTGATTAATCAACACTAACCTGGCTTTGTGCTCAGAGCTTCTACAGAGTGTCCACATTAACAAAGACTCCTGAAATTAAGAGTGTGTTTAACTGTACCACCTGACGCAGTGCACCCTGCATTATGTGATCACCTACTTATGCACCTTAGGCCTTTCAAGCACTGGATTTGACCATGCACCTTAGGACACTTACCCAATGCTCGTTATTTTGCTATTTATTCTATTTTATTTTTATTAGTTCTTTTGCATTTGACCTCCTGTTGTTGTTGTTATTATTATTGTTATTATTATCTATCTATCTATCTATCTATCTATCTATCTATCTATCTATCTATCTAACTGCTAAGATTCTTTTTGTTTGAAAAGTCCAGTAAAAATCCAACATACAAGCCTTGTCTCACTAAGGTCCCAACCTGCCTTGTGGGGCTCAACTGGAGATACTGTAGATACTAATATCTGAATGTGTCCATTTTTATGTTTCTATGTACACAATCACATGACCAAACTTTGCTGAGGTGATCATATTCTCACTGTGGAATTCAAGTGTGAGAATCCATTTGGTCAACACAACAGATCACTGCTGCCCTCTGCTGGCAAAGGGCTACAAATGACCCAGCATCCTCTTTGAAAACATTCAATTTGGACTTTTACCTCTGAAACAGTTGTTTTTGTTGCAGTGTGGTCCACTTTCTGAAAAAGCAGACCACACAAACGTCTTACAATTTTAATTCAGGTCAAACAGGCTTCATTGGCACAGGAAACAGATGTTTACATTGCAAAACCCAATGTGCAAAATCCATGTAAATAAAACTGTACATAAACAGAAGAAGAGTGGTTTTGCTATTACAAATATACAGTTTGGTAAAAAAAAAAAAACTTGAAATAGAGAAATGATGTACAATGTGTCTTGTGGTGGCCCCTGCTGCTATTGGTTCAGCAGTGTTCTTACTGGTTCACCCCACTGTTGTACAGGCTCATCAGTGTTTCCAGCCTTTAAAATCCAGGTAATGTCAGACACTATTTTCTCCCACAGAAACCCATTTTTGGTTAGACCTCTCTCTGTTCCTTCTTGACAAACAATGGACAATCTTAAATTTGCACACTAGTCACACACTTATGCACACTTCTACATATGTGCACATTTCACGTTGTTTTGCTATTTTTTTATGCACTTTTTGACTAACAGTTTATTTATAGGTATCAGGTCCACTTCACAGAACAAGCCTTGGCCAGTTTTCAACCAGGTACAGAGGTCCGGTCTTATAGAGAAGCTTTTCTGCTTCACTTCACAGTCACTCCTCAGTTCTGATTGTTTTACAGACCTGAAACAACTTTCACTTTATTACAGTACAATGTAAA